GATAGTTGTTCAGGTGCTGTAAACAACAATTAAATTGTATTAACGTAACCTTATGCTCATGTATAATACAGATTCATACAGACTCTTGAACATGAGCTTTTAGAATGCATCTGTAGCATCATGGCAAGTAGATGGCTTTCAAAAAGAATTTGATAAACAAGCCCATGCAAGTGATTGGCCGTTCTGTTCATATGGGTTAAACTGATTGAACTAACAGAAGATGCCGATTTGAAAATCTGATCGGAGCTTTGATGGTTCAACTAACATTAACACTCCTTGCAGATCCTGTTTTGGCAACTGTTCCTGAAATGTGTGGAGCAGAGTGCTGTGCAGTGAGACTGCTGTTGTGTAAATGATGCCTGTGATGTTTTCAAAGTGCTTTGAAATGAAAAATTGAAGGAAGTGTCTTCTGTGTGGCAGAAAGTGCAGAAGGGAAAATGTTCGGGTGATCGGAAATCTTCCTGCAAGTTTAATTGGGCTCTGGCAGTCTGCTTCAGCTCCAGGTTACCTCAGCTGTGCTTTCCCCTGGTATTTCTCTTCTTTCTTTGTCATTTTAACTTCTTAACTTTCTATGTCTTGTAGGTAAATTCCTGTCAACGATGGTGCTTGTTGCCCCCATGTTTCTCATTCTGTTACCTGAATGCTGACTTGTTTTTTTTTCATTTTTTCTTAAAGATTATCCTCTTCCCTAAGAATTTTCTGAACTCTTATGATTTATTTCTAGGTGTGGTGAAAAGAATAATAAAGTAAACCATCAACAAAAGAACAGGGGTAGAGTAGTTACAACTGCATGGAATTAGTTCTAGTACAGGCATGTGAACTTGTGATGTCAGTTGGTGCAGCAGTAACTAACGCACAGTTGACCATGATATTTCAAATAACACAAGTGACAAGCAACTTGTATATGCCTATAAATGTAAAAAAGCTATAAAAGAAAAAAAAAAAAAAAGGTTACTTACATTGATAAGAATTCTGATACCTTGTCTTTTTAATGGGTAAGCTCCAAAGTAGTTTTTCAAGGTCTCTGACTCACTGTGTTATGATACGATTTTAAGCTTCAGTTGTCCAGGCTTCATCCTTTACATCCTTTAGTTTTGAGTTACGATTAGTGCAATTTAAAAAGGGGAAGAAAAAAAAAAAGATATGGGCCAACCTTTTTATGCATAATTTAGGAGGTTTCTCAGCATCTTGCCCATCTAATGCCTATACATCAAGCTACCATAATATGGGTGGGCCACTGAGCTACTGACATCTCCTAGCTGAGCAGATGAGCTGCAGCTGAACTAGATCTCTTCCAAGATTTTGAGATCTTGAAACCATAACAATACAATGTGAATTTGTTTTATTACTGAACCAACAAAACTGGATGTTGACGTCACTGTCTACGAACTCTAAATGCATGTATTTGCTAGCTGGAAGCAAATTCCTATTTGTATTGTGTACTTTCCCCTGCCCTACTTGTGACTTCTCATCAGTAAAAGTAAGAGCTCTGGGACTGAGGAAGCTGGCCTGCCTGGTTTTATGTCCTTTTTACTTCAATATAACTGCTCATGTGACTTGATTATTCTAAAACTACTTCAAAAGAAGGAAAGTCTGGGATTGTATCCATTTGGAGTTCTTCTAATGTGTATTATACTTCGTCTTTATTGCTTCTACCACACTGAAAACTTCAACATTGGGTCTTGCAGAAATCTGGTTTCTAAATCAAGTGAGTTATCTTTCTAACTTTAGCTTGTGTTAACACAAGCATTTGACCTTTTAAAACATGTTATGTTTTATAGGCTACCTGTTTGAGAGTAATTGAAACATCTAGAGATTTTGTTTGGGTTTCTGCTTGAATTCCTATGGATTTAGTTGCACACATAAATTTTTATTTCCAGTATAAATCAGTGGTCTGTAGAGCACTCATCTTCTGTTTTAAAATCTGTTCTATCTTAAAAATAACTTTAGAGATGTCTTTTGGAGGGCTTGTGAATCTCTGTCTAATAAAAAATAAAACATATGACGATGTACTAAAATTTAGTGTTGAGGCTGCATTGGCTTCAGTGACACTAATTGGTCTTGGACATTGAGCTCAGAAGCAGATTTCTTTTTTTGTTGTTCTTTTTTTTTTTCTTCTCTCTGTTTCTTTGTTTGACAGAACTGTTATTTTCACCTTCCTTTATTTCAGCCATTTGATGGCTTCTCTGCTTCTCCTCCAGCTCCTTTTTCTTTTGGTTTATATCTCATCAGCACCATGCCTGGAATAACATTGAGGGTTTTTTCATTTCAATAAGTGTTTTCCCACATTTGTAGTGTCTTCAGCTTTGTGTAGAATAATAAATACCATGTCAACTGAGTTTTCCAAATAACTGTAAATGCTCTTGTTAAATTCCAGGAAGTTTAATAGTGAATTTCTACTGAGATTAAGCTGGACGCTTGTTAACTGAGAGTTACAAAGGATGATTTCACATATTCATATACACCTGTGTGTGTATATAGACAAATCAATCTACTTTTTTTAGTATTAAAAAAAAAAAAAAAATCTCCTTTTTCCAGGACCAGTGGCAGGAATTGGGATGAGGGAATTCCATTCCAGATGGATGCCATTTTCTGTCCCTTCCTGTTATTGTGTTACTGAAGAGCTACTGATTTGTGACCCTAGGAGTTGCGAGCTCCTAATACAGTGCTGGTGAGCTTTACAGTGTCCCCTGTAGCTTTGAAGAGCATTTTCCTCAAAATCTGGTGCCTTGAGATGAACACAGCTGGTAAATCCCCATATCTTTTTCCTACAAAAGAACAGTCAGCACTTCTACATCCCAGGTCATTTCTTTGTGTGTAACTTACAGCTCTTCCTCTGCAGTAAAATATTCAGGATACAGTTGTATTCTGGGTGCACTGGGTGTTTAATCTTAGAGCGAATGATTGACTGCACTGAGTTTTGGAAATGTGGAAGTAAAGAAGGAATGACTGCTCGGATAGTTGCAAAGAGTAAATGCTCTTATGGTATTTAGTGGATGGAAAACCCACAAGCTTTAAAAGTAAGCAGGTTGGAGCAATCTCAATGTGAACTCAAACTCATGTTCCACAGGCATCTTGGAATGGATCTTTATGTTCACGTGTGACACTGAACAGCAATTGCTAAAGCTTGATGTAAAACACAGAGTGCTTTTGGCTGCTGAAGCCTCTGAGATGTGAGAGTGAAGCTCCTCACAAATACCTTGTTGAGCAGCTGGTGCTGAGTAAGCCTATGTGGGAGCTTGTTGACAACTTTAGCTTTATTCTAAACAACACTTCTCTGCAGTCTTCAGTTTCCATGTTATGTTACAAATTACTTCTTGGTTTCATTTTGATAAGCAGGCTATTTTATAACTTAAAAAAAAAAAAAGAAGACAAAGCACAAGGATAGGTTAGTTACCTTAAAGTTATTGGGCTTCCTTGGCAAATGCACAGAATTGTTGGGCTGAAGTGCTGTGGCTTGCTGTACATGAAAACAACTGCAGAGCTTCATTTGTTGTTGTTATACCCTTGGTGTGTTGTTGTTTAGGTTCTGTGCTAAGTCCTTGGCCAAATGCTTTGGTATTGAGGATTCTAGTTTTATTTTCACTTCAGGAGTGCTGTAAAGTCTGTAGTGTAGTAATTAGAAATTCAATTATTTGCTATTTATAACAAAGTTTCACTTTCTTATTTTTCTATAGGTAGTCCTTAGTATGTTGTTGCAATTTATTTATACGAATGTCATTTGGAATGGAAAGAACCCAGTTGCAGATCCCCTTCTATGGGCTTTATGTTATAAACCACTTAAGTGGTGTGTACAGTTGTAAATATGTAGATGGTGTTACTTAGTGATTCATTAATCATGTGCAGTAGTGCAATAAGTCCAGCCTATTTTTTGGAGGTTGGGGGAAAACAGTTCATATCTTGACTGTGTCTGGAGTAGTTTGCAATGTTGAGTCTCAATCTGTCTATCTAGGCCATGAGAATGCTTCATTTTTCCTTTTGCATTTAAATATTTTATAGGAAATCTTGCTCCATTCTGCTTTTGAGAATAAGCTTTGATGGAGAAGTTAGCTTTGCTCTGGGCTTGGAAGGTGCTTATTGTGGCTTTTTCCAACTGGTGATTTGTAGGACAAAAGCAGGCAAGTGGTGGCAGTTGGGGGGCAGCACGCTTTGGCTTGGAGTTCTGAAATCCAAAGAACCTGATAGAAATCCACGAACAGGTAGAGACTTAAATGGTCAAACAGCAAATCACAGCTAGCAATTACAATGGTAGCTTCTCTCAGTGTTCTTACATGGTTTCAAAGCTTGTGGAAACAGCTCCAGGAATCTTTGAAGCTGCTGTCTGAAGGTGTCTTAAGTACGTGATTGTTGGCTGTCTGTCAAGTAGTTTAATTACTGTCACACAGTCAACTGAGGGCACAACTGTGTGTGGGAGAAGGTGGGCCAGGGCAAGTGGCTATTTCATGAATTGCTGGTGACAGCAAGTGGGCAACTGGCGGATTAAAGCTCAACTCAGTTGCATTATTATGCTGCACAACAGTTCAAGATAAATATAGTTCATGTTACGGTGTTTCGGTGCTGTCTGCTGAGAAGTGTAGTCATGTAGTTGTTTACAAGAGTCTTGAAACATCCTTGGTAGTTTCCTTGTGGCTTCTAAAACAGGAAAATTACTTAAAAATGAGTCTGAGGAATTCTTGGCACCACCTTTATAATGTACTTTATGTATCCTGTAGAACTGCTGCTGAAAGATAATTCTCCTAGGCTTGAGCTAAGGCTGCCATCTTTTTTTGCCTGTCTTCTGTTGTAAGCCTTGCTTAGCTTCTTTGTAGAGAAAGAATGGTATCTTTAAATGTTGCAAGTTATGGGTGAACGTTCTGCAGACATTTTACATAGTGGTATCTTATCTTCCTTTCTTGTCAAATATGAAATACGTTTACCTATATATAAACTTCTAAAATGTGAAACATTTAAAAATAAAAAAATAAAAATCAGAATTCCAACATTTTTTTTTTCTTTTACAGAAATGTATTAACTTTGGAGTGGAACTAAACAATGGAACCAGATATTATTCGAATGTACTCCTCATCCCCTCCACCGCTAGACAATGGAGCTGATGATGATGATGAAGATGAATTTGGAGAATTTGGAGGATTTTCTGGTGTGAGCACTGCTGGTGTAGCTTTTGCTGATTTTGATGCAGCAGACTACAGCCATCCAAAGGAGGAATTTATACCCACAAATCATTTTATACCCCTTCATGATTATTCTGACAATGTAGCTAGCATTGCAACTTTCACATCTGTTAAAAATGTTAAAGACTGCATTGCAGAGCTTCCTACTTCTCCTAAGGAACTTTCTGATGCGTTAGCTACTAGTACCAGCAAAGAAAAATCTAAGTTTAGAACTTCAGGTACTGCTTTTGATGTAAGTTTAGAAGACGTAAACAAGAAAGGGGAACAAAGAGAGAACACTGGGAAATCAGAGGGGTTTTCTTCTGATGTTAGAACTGATATAACAGTTGAAAGCCAAGATGAGCAAATAGATGCTTGTAATGGTGAAAAACTTCCATGTCTAGAGATTCTAACAAATGGATTTGCAGCATTGGACCCTGTAAATCCTCAGGGAACAGAAGATCTAGACAACGTCAGTGATTCAAAGGGACTAAAAACTGTTAGCAGCCATAGTACTGAGCTAAATTTGAACTCAATTCCTAGCTCAGGTGAAGGCTTTGCAGATTTTGCTACATTCTCAAACAGAAAAACAATCAATGTAGAGGGAACAGGCCCTACAATATGCACCGTTCTTAGTGAAAGAGACTCTCTGAAAATTCAGGAAAACAACAGAATAAACAGAGCAATTCATACTGAAGAAGAGACTTGTACTGCAGAAGTTAGCTGTGAACAGGATTCCTCAGCACTGGAAAGTAATGAATTTACTATTTCTAGTACGTTTCAAACAACTGGAAGTTCAATATGCACTACTGAAAATGGAGAAAACAATGGAAGGAGAAAACAACATGATGAGGAAAATGGCAAAGATTTTTCTCAGCTTGATGGTTTTTCAGGAACAGAGGACATCAAAATTGATGAAGTTGAAAGCTTAAGCACTGATCTCAAAGGAGAAAATGTGGGCAATTCTGAAGAAGTTAAGAATGGTGGAAGCAGTACTGAAGTTGCAGCTTGCCACATCACACATGATGATGACTTTGGTGATTTTGGTTCAGTCAGCAGTGCATCTTCTGCTTTCATTAATGCTCAAGAATCAACAAATGCTTCAGCTTTAGAGGCAGCTTCAGAACAGCCCGCACTTGTTAGCCAACGTAATGATACATTTGGTGAATTCAGGGACACAAATGCTGTTTCTCAGCTGCCAGCAACGTTGGATCAAGCTAACCTAAATCAGACTGCTGACACTTTAGAATGTGATGCTACCAGTAAAACTTCTGGCTTAGACTTCCAGCATACTACTGAGGTAGAAAATGGCGATGATAGTGAATTTGGAGACTTTGATTCAGTGCCAAAATCTCAAGATGAGAGTGTTGCTTTTCAGGACTCTGACGACTTTGCGGACTTCAGTTCAGCAGGTTGTAATCAGGCTACTGATTGGAATGCTTTTGAAGATGAAGAAAAGGACAGCTGTTCTTGGGCTGCCTTTGGAGATGAGCAAGCTGGCGAGTCTCATCACAGAAAAGAGACATGGCAGTCACATAGGACAGATACATCTGCGAGGATTGATGGTCCGGTATTACACAAGACTGACAGTTTTGCTTCAGTGTCTTTCCAGGGAAGTACTAGTAAGCAATCTCAAGAACCAGCACCTTCAGTTCAGGTAAGGGTGTTTCTGATTTTGCTTGCTCAGAATTATTCTGCTTTTCTGCATAAAGCTCTTCCTGGTTCCTGCTTTTGCAGAGAACAGATGTTTGGATAGTCCTTATTTGTCTTGTGGGAGAAATTTAATTTGTTTGGTGAGAAAGGCTGGTATGTAATAGTATGCTGCATTTACTCCTTTTATCTTCTGCACTGTTACTTCCTGCAGAAAAAAAGAGCTGGGTCTGTTGAAATTTGTATGCATTTGTTCTGAAAATTATACACAGTCCTTATATAAACTGATCAAAGTAATAAGCCATCATAAGCATTTCAGAGTCTGCGATAGTTCTTCCTTTTTGGGAGTTCTCTGATGTTTCCTTCTCATTAAACAGGCATAAAAGTGTCTGAAAGCTGGGGCAACTAGTTCCCAACTTTTCAGCACCATCCTGTATTGTGTTTTCAAATATCTGATTAAAAATGATGATTCAATTTGTTAATAGTTGTGCTTATTTGCTTAGAGAGCATGATTAGAAGGTATCTGACTTTGCAGGCAAGCACTGTTACTATTTGTTTCAAAATAGTCAGTGACATGATCATCAAATATGGCCTCTTGAGTTCTGTTCCTAATAGAAGAACTCCTGGGAGTCTCTTATGTCAGTTATGGTAAGCTCCACGTCATCACAACATTGCAAATAATGGATCAGTAACTTCTTGAAGATGCTGCTGTATCCAAGAGTAAAATAGGATCATTTCTTACCTCCTAGGTTTTCTGCCTTAGCTGCTAAATGTGTATTAATTCCTTCTTAAGTCTTTTCACAAGTCATCTTTGAGATCTGTGCCTGTTCATTGATAGATACATTTTTATAAGGATTTAATACTACCTAATTCAAAATTTAAAGCAATTTTGCTTTAAAGTTCTGATTCTTTTTTAATCAAGTCATTCCAGGTGAGTAGTTTAGAATATGTTCTCTTTCTGAAACATGTAGCAGCACCAGCAGAAAAGGGCTGGTGATAGTAAGTATCTAAGTTTTGGAACTTCTCTGACAACAGAAGAAAATGAGGTAAGTCCCTTCCTGCAGGATCTCCTGTAGACTTGGTGACAGCCCTCTCTCTTTACGTTTCATACCAATGACAGACAAAATGGGTTTTCAGAGGAAGGCTGTGACAGCCAGAGCTTTGCAAACATAAGCAGGTAAAACAGAGCTTTTAAGGCTTATCTCTGAGTTCTTGTCACTTTAAAAGGTCTGAGTCTCGGCTCCTGGCACTTCCTGCTTCCTGTTTTGTTCAGTGACTAACTCCAAGTTTCAGATTGAGTTTGAGAGACTAAAGAAGAGTCTCAAATGAACCTGCAGGTGGATTTTTGTGTCTTTGCAAAACCTTCCTCGTTGCAGGGGACTACCTGAGGGAGAGAGGCCCCGTTCCGAAGACAAAAGCACAAACCTATTGTAACCTACTCTGTTGTTCATTCACCTATGAAATTGTAGAGTGCTCACGTCATTAGTGCAATTAATCTAACTTGTTCCTCTTTCCACTTGAAATAAGTCATTCAGAATCTGACAAGGGGTGGGGAGGTTATTCTAGTATCATGCTTTCAAGAACTAATCAAAGTTTCCAACATTTATTTTTTCTTACAGTTTTCCATACTTTTATGATAGAGTTTCAGTTGAAAACACTTCTGAATGTTGATGCTTACAAAAGAGGAATCTTAAGAGATTCTGTAATGTTTTTTTCCCTTCCCCACATCTATGTTAGCAACAAACAAGCTTAGCTGCAGTGGGAGCTCTTGGGTGGGCTGTCATAAAGTCATACAGGAGTTTGGACTGTAAACCAACTAAATACTTTTTTCATTCTTCCTCCGTGCAGCCCGGTCTAGTGGTTGGCAGGCCTGCCTACAGAAGGGGGGTTGAAACTAGATAATCTTTAAAGTCTCTTTCAACCCAGGCCATTCTATGATTCTATGATTTATACTTTGGTCAGCAGAGACTATTTGGCTATCAAGTGATATTCTGTCCTTCCTGCAAGTGAGGCAGTACAACCCAGAGCTTACTGACTTGCTCTAGTAAGCAGCAGAGGAAGTTGAGCTGGATGAGTTTTCAGTGATGCAACAGTTACCTCAGCCTTGCAACAAATCTTAGTTGCTACATTATTTATCCATTAACTGTTAAAAGCAATAGTTACATGTTTTGAAAGTATATTCTGTGTTCTGCAAGCTCTTCAGGTTTTCAAAAGGCTTTTCCAAATCTGCCTATGTTAAATGCTCCGTTTTAATCCAAAGAGCTGCAGTTTGGTACTTTGGAACTAGAAACACTGCCTTGCGTGTTCTAGATATTGGGATGAATTGAGTCAACATGAGCCAGCATATAGCCCCAGTATTTGGAGTGAGGAATAATAGAAAAGTGATCAAAATCTGAGTTAATTTTTCTTACTTGTAATTAAAAGATGTCATTGAGGTCAAACCACAAAACAGAACCATTTTGAAGTACTTGCTAAGAGAGAGAAATAGTGCATGTGCTGGATACTTGAGATAGATGTGAAAATCGAAACTTTGGCATATGCTGAAGGTGAACTGGGATCATTTACAAGATACTGTATACACTTAATCTGTAATACTGAGGCTAAAAGGCTCATTGTGGTGTGGTAGTGTAATAGTGCTAAACAGTGTATAAACAGAATGACAGATCTTTGCAAAAGCAGAAAACTGAAAAGTATACTTAATCAGCAACATTACTGTATAAATGTGGAAGTGATGTACACAGCAGTACTCGTTCATCCAGAGAGCAAATGAAAGGAGTTTACCAGTAGCTAAAGTTCCCTCATCATTTCTCTCCACATATTCTTTTCTGTTTATGTATGGCTTTTTTTCTGGATATGAAGGATAGAGCAAAATGTTGTGTTTTCTGCTAATAAGGTACACGTTAGGCAAGCTGTTCTAAAAACTGTAGATTTTGAATAATGTTTAATTAATAAAGTAGACTTTGCTTGAATTCAGCTAATTAACCTAGTTTCTCCTCATAAAATATAGAATATAAAAGAAGAAAGTAAGGGGAAAAGGTCACAAATAACAACCTAATGTAGTAACTTCTAGTGGCAAAGAGATCATTAGTCTTTTCTCCTTTGCCTTTGGTCTTACAGGCTCTCAGAAGCCTCCATATGATTGGAAATGTGTTGTATGTAGTGTGCTGAGCTGCTCTTTTCCATAGAGTTAGTTAATGGTAGAATAAGGTAATAGTATAGGATCCTAGAATGGCTTGGATTGGAGTTCCAATCAAGCCACAGGCAGGGTTGCCAGCTGCTAGATCAAGTACTAAATTTGGTTTGCTCAGGGCCCCATCCAGCCTGGTCTTGAACACCTCCAGGGATGGGCATTCACCACCACTCTGGACAAATGTGTTTAACACATTCAGTTGGAATTACAGAAATGATACGTAATCCATTAGATTCCAGCTTCTGTGGCTGGAGAACACAGATATTACAGTCTGTTGTTTGAAGCCATCTTAATACTACTGTGTGTCTAATCACACGGTGTTTTTCTTCAGCTGAAGATACACAGTATTTGTTCCAGTATAGCTGCAGGCTTGAGTTTAGTATAGGCCTGCTTTTGAGTTTGTTAAAACTGATTTAGGATGTAGTTGTGGGTGAATTGGTTGATGCTAACAAGTTTTGAGCAAACCTGTACTGTACTTTATGCATTAATCTCCTTTATATGACCGCATAGCACGTGTTTACAAGGAACATAGAGCTCACAGTGCAGCTTCTTGCATGAGATAGTGCTGAGCATTAGTCAGCTGAGGGGGTTATTCTGCAGTACTGTGTTAACAGTATATATAGGATTAAGCAAAGCACAAGAACAGTTTTTACCTACAGTAGTCACGGGGGTGGGAGAAACGACTGCACAGCTATGTTCAAGGAGTACAAACATTTCTAGTGGAGGAGGAGATGAGCAATGGTTTGGTTGGAAGACTAGAAGTCTTCCCCAATTCAGCTGAGAGTTAACAAATCTAGAAGAGAGAGAAAGGGAAGCAGCCCTTAAGTGAGGTTTGAAAGCCTGTGTGCTGGAGCTCTTCCTCTTCGGGTTGATCAGTGTGGGTGATGTACAGTTATTAACCCACAACTGTACTTCAAGATGAAGAAAACTTTGGATTGCTGTCATGTTGAGATTACTTTGTGTTGGCCAGTGAGTGAAGAGTCATCCTTTTGAAAAAAAAGTAACTTCAAGGCAACTCCAAGCCTGGTTGGAAAAATTAGTACATTGCCACTGCATCAGAATAGCAGGACTGACTGAAATAAGGAGTAAGTTTTATGCAGTCTAGTGAGAGAACCATTAAACTTTTTCTACATTCATGGAAAATGCAAGGCTTGCTCCATTCCTCAGCTGAGGGAGAGGCCTTTCAGCCAGACAAGGGAGACAGATTCACATTTCTACATTTAACTTCCCCATGGTGTATAACTCTTGCATCAAACAGTAAAAAAGCTGAGAAGTCTTATTCTTCCCAGGGCCACTAAAATTTTAGATTTGCTTTGTAGCTAGGCAAGGAACTTTATAGTTACTGATTAAACATGGTTTTGGAGGGGTTATTTAGAACTGCCATTCTTATAACTCTTATAGTTACAATGTAGTTAACAATTTACTCTTTTGTTGGTGGGTTTTGAGAGTGGTTTGTTTAGCTCTTGTGACAGTATACTTGATAGAGTAACTAAGTAGCATTCTCATGCTGACTTGTAGATCTTAGCTTAGGACCTCTATTTCCATTATAAATTATCTGTAGTAATAAATGAATAATATAAATGTAAATGAAAATAATTCCTTTTGGTTTTTACCTTTTAAGAAATTTCTGGCACTATTTTAAATGTAAGTGCTTTTCAAGGGGAGGAGAGAGAGAACAGCCACCTTGGAATCATGAGAAGTTAAGCTAGTGCTCTCTGTAAGCTCTGCTTCTCTTGGCCTGGGACTTTTTATGCCTGCTGCTCCGTGAAGGTGCTCTGTTTGCTAAGCAGATCCTTCACATTAGAGAAATGAATGTGACACTTTACCTGGAGAAGTATTCAAGTAGTTGTGTGGCGAAAGCTTTGATTCATGTTGACTGTTTATGTAGCATAACCCAAATATATTGTCTTTGCAGCAAGCTGCAGCATCTCTTTGCACAGCTCTGAAGAGTGGCAGTGAGCTGTTATCACTGCTGAGTTCATGTGCAGAGAGCTGGGGGGGATTTAGGTTGCTCTGTGGCCAGGTTACCCTTAGCTTGTTAAGGAATGCATTGGTTCCGTAGTCTTGTGATGGAGAGGAAAAACAAATTCTGTAAAACCATGTACTTTGGACTTCCAGCTCAGAGGTCTGGATCTTATATCGTCTGTTTACACAGCATAGAAGATAAGTTCTAACCCTGTGGCTATAGCTCTTACTTGAAAGTCTGTTATGTCTGAGATTTTGATTGTTTCAGGTATCAACTACCAAATAGCTTACATATTTCTCAAGAACTTTTGTGCAGTCACAGAAACTACGGAGTTTTGAATTTGTCATTGGAGAATCACGGTTAATTTTTAGAATGGCAGCTCTGGCCTTCATTTACACCTTTAGTAGGTGCCTGTAAGAATTATTCCTATCAAACTGCAGTGCGGAATTCTCAAGTAGCAAATATTTCAGTATCTCAGAAAGTGGAAGAAAGCTTTTTCTTTCAAGAGTATGATTATATAAGCTTAGGGAGAGTGCTCTTTCCCTAGTGAAGAAGGCATATTTTGGGAGTTAGTTGGTGATGTGGTGTGTGGGTACTGGAATTTAGAAGTTTCCTCAAAGTACATTGAATTCTTACAAGATTTTTCTTGCTGAAAGTCCTGCTCTTACTGTCCATGACAGCATGCTTTATGCAAACAGTAGAATGAGGTTTGTAGAAGAGAAATGTTTAAACTAATTTCAAAATCTTGCTAATGCTGTCTGTACCTGGGCACTGTCAGTGCAGTATTTCCTTAACAATTAGAAGAAAAACTTCCTTGAAGGACACTGCCACTGCTGGAGATACATGTGTATACGTACACCCATCCCTCTGTCTATTTGCACACATAGAAGTAATTATTCTGGTTTGCTATGGTAACAGTTCTTCTCTACTATATATAAGTAAGGGCCAAGTACTTCTGGAGACTTAGAAAAGATGAAGGGAAGTGCAGAGAATGCTATAATTAAACTGCTTGAAATTTTGGCACAATTTTGAGCTCAAATTTGAAATTGAGTCCTGAGTTGGTTCCTGGAGACTTTCTCTTAGTTCTTTCACTATCTAAGTGTGTTTCTGGTCACTGGTATGTTCTCAAATGTCTGTCCTTTTCAAGAAACCTGATGCCTTGCTACTGTCATGATACAGTGCCTTTTTTTCTGACTCTTTCCTCTTTAGGAATATATGTTTCTGCTGTATTATTAAATGAAAGGAACTTCACCCATTCATGTACATTAATAGCAACTGACTCATTGCAGACAGTTATTCTTTATAACTTAAGCAGAGCATACTTTTGTATGCTGAAGCATTGAGATAAAATCCAGAATGATGTTTAGTTATACTAAATTAGTGTCTTTGTTTTAATCAATAAATGCAAAACAGTCTACAGGTATTGTAACAGGTAATGTGACTTGTACTGTATAGCCAAAGTGGCTGGGCATTAAGGCATGGTTAAACTTAAAAGGAAAATGCTACACTGTTGGATGTGACTCACTACAGTCAGAAAATACCAGTGGGATAATGAAGAGGAGGGGAAAAAAAATGAGTCAGGAATGCTGTGTAATTCAGATCATTTGATAATATGTTAATAGTGGCATTTTGATGTAATGCTTTGCAAATGTCTTATAACTGATCTGCTGGCTGTCCCTGTATGTCAGGCACACATATACGCATATGATATAAAAACTGATGAGGTGGTAAGCAAGTTAACTGTCCTGCTTTCTGTGGGTAGGAGCTGGATAGGGAGAACAGACTCCTGAGTCCTCATCTAACTGTAGCACAAAGAATCATGATGTTCTGATTGTTTCATCTCTGCATCTGTATTGTTTGTTGCTGTATGTGCTCAGTGGTCTGCTGAATTGAGACAAGAGATGAGGCAAATAAAAATTCTGATGGGAAGTACTGTAGATGCTCACTGTGAAGCTGATATTCCGTGTGCCTGAACGTGTGTCCCAGCTGTATTGGTTGGTCAGTTGTGAGAGGAAACCTCAGTCTGAGGTTCGTATTTGCGAATGTAGCACTGCTGCTGGAATATGCTGTGTCTCCACGGGAGGGCTCTGCAGGCACAGCTCTGCTGGCACGTGCTGAAGGACGGATGCCCGTGGGGTTGCTGCCTCCTCTGCTCCTCTTCCACATCCCCAACAGAACAGTGAAGCATTGGAGCTGCTGGGTGCTGCCCAGTCTACAGGGCAGCAGATTATCACAGGGGTGCCTGTTGAGGAGCTCCAGGTGAGCGTGAACAAGAGAGGGAGATGCCAAGTTTGCATCCTAGCTAGAGGAGACATTCATGTTATTCTGTTAAAAATAAACACAGTAAAGAAGAGGCTTAAGGTTCATTTTAGGAGCATACGTTATAGTTGGTACTTAAATAATAAGAGATTACTGGTTTCCTGTTTCTAACTGGTAGAACAGGGCTGGAAAAAACGTGCTGTTTTAGTGCTCCATCTGCCGTCTGAGACAGTTCACACAGCTGTAATGAAGTTGAAATTCTGAACTTAAAAAGAAGCTTACTGTGCTGGCCAAAAAAGGGGGCTTTTAACAGTGTTTTTTATTGGGAGATTTTTTTTTTGTAGTGGTGAGAAGTGCAGGGGAGATGCTTCTTGCACTGGGAACAGTTTCTGTCGTCTTTTATCCTGGAGCTTCCTTCCTCCAAACAGGCACTGAAATGATGTGGTGTCAAGACACAGTTACAACTGCTTTTACAAGTACATTGTGCAAACCATGGCTTCTTACTTAGCTGAAATACAACTAAATGGGCTTTTCTGTTGGGGGTGGTTTGTTTTTTGTTTGTTTAAAGTTATTTGGCTAGGACAGAAACATTCCCAAAGTTGGTTTTTAAGCCCTGCAGGATTACAGCATTCAGCATCAACTGTTTGAATTGTGAACACGAGGAAAGGGAAACTGCTGGGAGAAAAGTGACTTTCTTTTTTTTTTAATTAACCAGCTTCAAATGCATAAAAGCATATTAATAGATTTGGAGGCAAGAAAAGAACAACATTTGATGTTCTTTTGTTGTTTTTTTTTTCTTTCCTGAAGAATTTATCTCATGATCAATGCTATGTATGATAGGAAATGAAGCTGAGGATTACAGTTTTTCTACATGCAAATGATTGATATTAATAGATTTTTAGGAAGAGTGCAGTCTTTGCATTATAAATGTTCTTGGTCATTATTTTCAAGCTAAATTTTGTGAGGCTTTCAACTACATAATACTTAAAACAAGTGACAGTGTCTTCTGAATCCCCTTTACGTATCAAGTATGGATGGAAGGGCACTGACTTTAAATGAAATGATATCTGTTTTTTGATTTGCATTTCAGATAACACTGAGTACCAAAAATGTGTTCAGTAAACCTCTTAGAGTGCATAGAATTTGAAACTTTCATGTATTTTAAGTAAATACAGCTTGACACTTTTTGCATCTATATTTTTTGCTAACTTATAACAAAGAGTAACTCTAGCAAGATCTGTTCTGAACTCCTTCTGTAAGAGCTCATTGTAGAGAGGATAAGACTCTTTCTCAGTAGCCTACAGCCTGTATTTGGTGGTAAGAAAGCCCTGCGGTTCACTGGCAGCTCTATAGCTTGAGGTAAGTGAAGCTTTGCATCAGCTACCAATCGTTTTCTGTTGTAATTTTGTAATTTCAGACTAGCTTTCTTAAGAGCAGTTAACGAAAGTCCATGTAAATGTCTTTCTCTTTGATATAGACAACGTTGTTATGTCGTCTGGAACGAATATTTGAAGTCTGTTTTCCTTCCATGCCTGTTCTTGAAATTGAAAAAGAGATAATTTCCTTGAATCATTTGCTGGAAGCAGGTGAGAAGCAGACAGCAACTGAGGAGACCTTAGCAAATACTGGGTAAGAAACTGCTAATGCAACTTATTTGAGAAGAATTAGAAATATGTCTTCTGTGGGAACTTAAAACATACAGTAGTAATTCAAAATGATTGGTTTCCATTGATTATTTTGAAAAAGTATTGAGTAAGATTAGCCATCCAGCAGAATGGCTGTTTGCTGTGATTATACTATACAAGAGTATTTTACTTAGTCAGCAATATCTCTTTTAAGTGATGTCTCTGTTAATCAGAAGATATTTTATTAGTAACACTTGCTGTAAATTGCTGTATTTATTTATATGATGGTGAAATCAAAGTAGGCCTTGTTCTGCCAGCTTTGGACATCATTTTCTAATTAGAAGTCTGAAATATAATTGTTTCAAGAACTCTATGCAGCTTTGGTTCCCCAGAGTGTCATGCTTGGATATAAGTTTAATTGGAATGTACGTTAAGATGCTTGTATTAAAAATGAGAATCCAAGTTGAAAGCTGGTAAGGTGCTGTTCCTGTTGGTGACATTCAATTTCTGATGGGTTGTGTAGGGAACTGACGGATGTGTGGGCAGAGCTGCAGGATATCCACGATGCGTACGGACTGCGATACCAGTGGGGTGGCTCCCACAGCAACAAAAAGCTTTTGTGCTCCTTGGGAATCGACACAAGAAATATTGTGAGTCTGTCAATAAAGCTGTTGAAATAACAGACCTGCTTTGAATGTAGTGTTAAATTGAAGTGGTTCTGTATGAATACTTGTCTCTTAATTGCATATCTGCACTAAACATGGCTTTTGGTGGCATACTGTCTTAAAACTTAAGACAGTTGTTATAATAAAGTTCTTATGCTTCCTGTTAATATAAAAAGTTTTATTTATTTTAACCATTGTGTTTAACAATGTCTGTTCTCTTGTACTAGTCTCGTATAAGTTTGAACAACATTAAAACAGTATTATAATCACTAAAACAGCATGGCAAAACCTCTTAAGAAAATTTTCTTGTTGTTTTATCAGCTCTTTACAGGCAACAAGAAACAACCTGTCATAGTACCCATGTATGCAGCAGGACTGGTAAGCTTTCTTGGTGTTATGCTTCTTTTTCATAGTTCCACAGCACTATATAGTCAAATACATTAAATAGCACTAGGCATAAAGTAATTATAGAAGCTGTAATAGAAGTCTGTAAGTTCAGTTATAGTTTAGGCATCAGTTGAAATTGTGCAAAAGAATAATTAAAAACACAGTTTTTGTGATGCATGCAAGCATGTATCTTAATATTTGAAATGAAAAAATACTGATTTACTCATTTCATAAAGCAAACTATCTAATGTGGTAGGCTAGCTAGTCTAAGGGTTTTATAAAAAGAAAAATTGATCGAAGTAGTATATTAATGTGTAAGTGGCAATAAAAAGTTCATATTTTTTAACTATTAAATACAAGATAGAGATGTAAAAATACCAGTTGAAACTTGTTGCAGGAAACTAGAGGGTTAAATAGTAGTTAGAAATAATGAGTGAACATGATGATAAATCAAGATGTTAATTCAGAGCAGCAGTTGTGGGAAGCCCTGGCACTAAGACCAGATGCTTTAAAGGTTAAGAATGGGTAGATAGCTATGGTATTCCATTACTACTTGTGTGAAGGAAATGTTCTCAGCTCTCCGAAGCATTCCTCTTCATGCAGCTGTTTCTCTGTGAGACTGTTTGTTAATTACCTGATTGCATCTTAATGTCCTCAGATCAAAAGAGAAGCATAGTAATGCTTTACAGTGTTACTGACATATTAATAAAGGACCTCTGTACGTGTTAATAGGGGACCCACATATGGATGTGTATATTAAAAAAATTTGCAGGGGTGGAGTCTGCAGTTCCTAAGAATTCCAGTTCTTCAAAAATTATGTTTTTCTTTTTCTACCTTTTCTACTTCATCCCTTTTCTCTTCCCTTCCCGCTGCTAAACTCTGCTCCCAAGCCAATAGACCATTTAGACATAAAGACATATAATATGGAAAATGTTGTTGTACTGCCTTAGTGTTAAGTAAAAATAGCAAGTGTAGTTTATATTTGTGTAAACTGAAGGAAAGCCAAGTAACCTGCTGTAGTAGGATCAACTGTTTGCACTTAATTCAATGCTCTGCAGTTCTTGCTTGGCATTTCAGTAACGGTAAAATTATTCAGAAGATAAGATTTGCTTTTTTTGCTAGTTTTAGCACTACCTATATATATGTATATATAGGTAGTGTGTGTATGTGTGTATGTATATATATGTATGTTTGTGTAGCTTTTCAGAAAAATAGTGTGTTCTTTTTAATATGGTCATTCACAAATTGAATATAAAAGGACTACAGTTTTCTTTGGCTTAGTATAATTTAATCCATAGGTTAATTTCCTAGAGTGACTTCTGTAGTTAATTCCTAGAGCAGTTGTTTTCTGATGTATCAAGGTCAGCTCATGCACTTCTTTGTGTGTAAGCATGGTATCTTGCTAAACCAGGAGATAACACAACTCAGAGCAACTATTCTCTTCATGTAACTGTTTGAATGTGACATGCAATTTTTTTTTTTTTTACAATGGATTGTTGTTGCTGATGAATTATCTTCTGAGTTGTTTGTATACTTAAGCACATGATAAGTTGGGTGGAGATGATGTTGCAAGTGAGGTGACTTGATTCTTTGTCTTACTGCACTACTTCAAATTGTTTCTGTACTTTCCAGAAGAGTTGGTTGGTGTTGAAGTTCCAGGCTCCACTAACATGCTATAGGAATGTTTGTGAGACAACTGGTCTTGATAGCTGAGTTCCTGAATTTAAAGTATGCTAGTAACAAATGCAGTGGTTCTATTTTCTCATACTTCCATGTTCAGAAGTGCTTTGCCTATCCCTTTTTTGCTCTTACTTTCATTCAGGAAGACTGAAAATCAGTCATCATCTGTATAGCTCTTCTTTAGCTTCTGAACAAAAACCTCAAGTTTGAACAGTTTAAAGCGAACAAAAAAAGTTGTATTTGTTTATTTTCTTAATGCTTTTTAAGGCATTTTTTGTCCATGTCAATAATTACAGTTCTTAGGATCATTCTCCAAGCTGATAATTTGACTGGTTTCTTCTGAATTACTTAATTGTTGAAACAGAATGAATGCACTCCTTTCCAGTGTCTGCAGTTCCTGGAATCTACATGTGTGCGTGTATTTATGCATGCAGGCATGTTATCTTCTATTTTATTTTATTTTTAGGGTATGCTTGAGCCTACCAAGGAACCTTTGAAACCAATATCTGCAGCAGAAAAGATAGCTTCCATAGGACAGACACCTCCTGTATCACCAGAGATGAACACATGTGCATCTGATCAGTTCCAGGTAAAAACCAGAGAGAGAGGGACAGAGAAAAAGAATGAATGAGGGGAATGATGGAATGCCTTGCCTCTTCCTTCATGTTTTAATTAAGTTTTCAAAGACACCTGTATCAAAGGCAGGTGTTCCTTGCATCAGATTGAAGACATACTGTTGGATCTACTCTTCATGTGTGACTGGAAGGGAGTCCCCATGATAAGACTACAACAGTTGGTGGCCAAAATTTAGGAGTCCTGATGATATCTACTGGTATATAGCAAGTTAGTTTAAAAGTCCTTCCTCTGGCTGATGTTCTGTCTTTCCTTTATCTAAAGCTTATCATAGTTCAGCAGTGCTTAGTTTTTTACTTTTTTTTTTAAACTATCATATTTGCAGGTATACTGTTTATGCTGTTTCTTTTTCTTTTTCCTTTCACTTTCAGAGTAACATAAAAGCAGCCCAGTTGCCTGGAAAAGGGATTCTGGGTGCAATCATTACAAGCATGAGTACCTGATTATGTATTTTTTTTCTGTTATCTGAGTTCTGTGTCAGATTTTTTGTGAATAATTATCCATTGAACAGCTCAAAGTCACTTCTGGTTTCTGTTGTCTGAACCTGATACAGAATGAGTTCAGAGAAGCTTAGGAGTGAGTATTTTGAATCCTCTGAATTCAAAATTTTGTGGGTATTTTTTTGTTGTTTTTCTGGTATTCTGATATTTGAAGACTTTTTATGTGGTGTGTTGTAGTGTGCCTGATTGGCAGTTAGCTAGCAAAATATGCAGAGACATTTGATTTTATTTTTTTTTTCCATGTTGCTACAAACATGCTTAGTGTGTATTCAGAGAAAGTCAGCTGTGTTTGTTCTTAGCACAGGTTTTATTTAATCTGCCCAGCATTTGGTTACTTGCTGTGCTGGTGACTTCTGGTTGAGGGCATTTCAGAATGAGCTATCTACCTAACCTTAATTCTGGGTAGAGGGATTTCCTTGCATTCATTGCTTTGTTGTAGTGCAGAGCTCTAACTTAAACAGCTTATAATAGTGGAGAAATCTTTTTGGTTGTGGAATAGCAGTATGTCAATGGGCTCAGTACTGAGGTTGTTTATAATAAAGTACATATTTGGTGACACTTCCTACATCTACTGACCCACATGAATTCTGTAGTAGAACCGAGCAGCTGAAGTATATACTAAAAAAAGATAAGATTATTGCAACCACTCTGTGCTGAAAAAATCACGTCTAATTTCTATATTTGAATGGATTTAGAAAATTTCGCTGGCTCTTTACAAAGTTCAAGTTTTTACTGGGAAAAGCATAGATTAAAGCCTATAACGTAGAGAGCTGCAAGAGCCTAGGATAGCAGTATCTCTGAGGTATCCCTTCTTCTTTGTTGCCTGGCAATCCTTGTGCTGAGTGCTGAAAACATGAACCTCTGCTTATCTAGGTCTGCATTTTCCATAGTTATTTGTGTTTTGTACTTTTGGATACTTCTGTAGCAGACTATCCAGATAGTTGTCACAGCTGCTTGATTTTCTTGTCCCTTAGCTTACTATTATGACAAGTTCATTTCAGTTCAATAGTTGTGACCCATCAATATATATATAAAGTTTTCATGGTATCTTTCTGCATTGCTGGCCTTAAATTATTTTCTTTCATCAAAGACAAATACTAAGAAAAAGCTTCTGGAAAAGAGATGATTTAAAGCTCTAACCTTTAAGAACACTAGGAGGCTGCAGTTAAGTGGCATTAAGCTTCTTGGTGTGGACAATCAGCAGTGGTCTCAGACGTTGTGATTCTGTCTTGGCATTATATTCTCTTAATTCCTGATGGTTTTAGCTTGCTTTTGGAAAACTGAGTTTGCTTCACATCATACAGGCTGCCATTTAGGAATATTCTGCATTTTAATGATATTGAGAAAACGTACCTAAACTTTCCTAAACATTTCGTTATGAACTGTGTTATAAATTAATATGCAATGGAAATATAATAGGTGATTTTAGCAGACCCCCAAATTACTTATTCTTAACAGTGATAATTTAGGTAGAATTGTATGCATTTTTAAGCTTAACTGAATAAATACACATTATCTTGGTGAAATGTCTAAATTGTTCCATTTTCAAATGATGCTGATGGGTCATGCTAATATGCAGAAACTTCAAAATATTGGCTTCTCATTGGAAGGAGATCTTAGTTAATAGATTTGTGTTTTGCTTCAGAAAGTAGAAAAGGTCTCTTGTTGACAGCCTAGCATTTATGAGACTTGTACATCAGTGTATGTGTATGATACTGATGCAATAAGATTTTGGAAAAAAATATTGTGTTGATGAATAAGTAGAGGTGGGAGGAGCATTTGTAGAAGCATAGAGATACCTCCTTAGTTTTCTAGGTAATGGATGAATGGAGGAAAGCATATCAAAATTAAAATAGCATTTGAAATCAAGTGAGGAGAAATGAAACAGATCAGCTGCAATAATTTTTCCTTGTTATTATATAAATTCTGTATATTCTGGCCTCATTCCCTACATCAGATCTCATTTGGGTTGTTCAGGCCATGGAAATACAGTGAGCATCATTATCATCTGGGCAATTCAGGCTGCAGTGACAAGGTTTTGACTTTTCAAATGAATATCTGAGGGAAGTTAAGGTATTGATTGATATATCACATTATTTTATTTAATGAAGATAATGTGTAAACTTGTTTTGTATTTGAAGGTAATGTCTAGATTTTTTATCTGTTGTTTCTCAAGACTTTTGAGATTTTATTTCTCTGTTCATCTGTGCTGTAAGGTGGTGAACAGAATGTGAAATAATTCCAACTGCTTTTACCTGTGTTTAAGAGCATGGTATCCTGCAGACTTTGCTGTCTGAAATATAAGGTCCCAGTAAAGCACAAGTGTAAGAAAGAAAGACTGCTCAAATAGGCCCACAGACAGGTGCCCTTCTCTTCTTTTTCACAGCATCTGCTGAAGTGGTCTTCTAGTCCATAACTGTCTTCAGTCAGTGCAACTAATATATACTCCAGTACTTGTCACAGAAGTTGTTATCTGGGCTTAATGTTCTCTGATTTCTCTTTATTCAATCTTGTTCTCTGGTTAGTGTAATTTAAAATTTTATTTACCACCCTCTCTTGGCTTTCTTGCAAAAAGTTATATAAATATTTTTGCTCTTTTGCTATTGTTTCTAAGCATCCTCTTTTCTGTTTGAAAATACCTATCTTTGGTAGAGCTGAGTGGTAACTTTGTCCTGAATACAGGATAATTGTGGTTTATTACCTGCTTAGTTTTGCTTATTAAAGCAGAATGTTGGAATAGAAATCTACGGTGACTCAGTCTTTTCTAGAAGAAAATTACCAGTAATTCTTTTCTGTAGGTGCCTATTACAGCACATCTGCCTGCATGTAACATGATCTCTAATTCAGAAGCTTATAACAGAATATGTATCTTACACTTGCTGTGTATTAGGGATTGAAACTTAATTAAACCTCATGGGGTGACGGTCTTTAAAAACACTCTTAATTACGTAAGGGACCATCAGGACTTCTAATAATGACAGATGCAAACTACCATATAATTGGCCACCAGCCAAAGTCTCCATCATGGAACTGCTCTCCAGTTACACATGTGAGAAAGATCCAAGAACATATGTAGCTCTGACTGAGTAAGAGAGTAACAATCTGCAGGTAAGATATAATACAGGACATAAATATGCTATTAGATGCAACTAAGTTGCTTAAAGGTGGAGTCTGAGGAAAGATACATTTCAGAGCTCTTGTAACTGTGCCAATGGCTATGTACAGCAAAATGTATGAATTATGTCTGTGTAAATCTTCTGAAAGTCATGTTTATGGTACTCGTACTTTAGGGGTACTTTAGGGGATCTATTTAAAGATTGGTCATACATTTGTGTTACAAGTCTTCCTTCAGCTTTAAGACAGCAAAGTACCCCCCTGTAGAGGGGGGAAGGAGCAAGGGAGGAGTTAGTTTTCTTGGCTAATCATTGACGTGGAAACAAACACATCTTAGATTTTTGGATGTTAAAAAAAAATCTTACTTAACACTATGCTAAAATTGCTGTGTGAAAACATCTCTTCTTTTTATCCAAATGAAATATGATGCAGTAAAATGAAGAGAAAACTAAAATACCTGCTCCTTACTTTATCTGCCAGAGCATTACTTGGAATGTTGAGTATACTTTTTCTGTAATCTAAGATGGAGGGAGGAGCGAGAGCAGTTTTCTTTGAATCTCAATATTCTTCCAGGTTGGGTACTTTTCTTTAAATTTGTTATTAAAACTGTAGTTGTGAGTACAGTAGGCTTGCAACCTTGAAGACTCTCAAAGACAGAATATTTCTATTCCTGTTTGCAGGACATGTTTCCTTTATCTGAGTTTAGATGCCTCAGAGTAGTTTAATTTTATTAGGGCCAAGGACATTAGAAACAGAAAACTTTCTGGTTTATTGGCTTTTGTTTCTGTCCTCTACTTCTGTTTGTTTGCTGATGGCGTGGACCAGGGCCTGCCAACATCCTGTATAGATGAGGTCTGATTTTCTTGTCACCCTCTTTTTTGCAAGCAATTGAAGTCAGCGTAGTGGCTTCATCCCACAGAACAGAAGAGTTAGTATATGCAGTACACTTACTGATTTGGAATCAGATATGTTTTTTATCCATTTTAGGAAGAATTCATCCTATCCTTTGCCCTCTCCTTAGCAAGTCTGACAATCATGTAATCATTAAAATGAAAAGCTGAGCCAACCATTGGTATCACCTTTTCCATGCAATACTGCTGTGGACTCATCGGGACTCATCAATCCTGACTCATTCTTTTGACAGGAAATGTAGTGGCTGTTCCTCATAACTGAGAATTTGTAGGAAGCTACTTTGTTTCACTTTGAGTTCCTTTTGTTCACTCCAGAAGACTACTAAATTATATTGGCATCCATTTCTTTCTTAATTTGATTAAAAAAAAAAAAAGCAACCTCTTTTTTAGAGGTAATATAGGTGCACCAAAGTTTATACAAGCTGCTGATCATAGAGATCATAACTTAATCTCAGGTATAGCTTCTACACTGGTAATATGATTTTTCCATCCAAATCATTTCAGTGCCAGTAATTTCATTATCAGAGCAAAGTAAAAATAAATAAACAAATAAAATGTGGCATCAGCTCCTTAGGCTCCTTGGAGTGAATGTTCTAGTTGTATTCCACAGTATTGGAAATAATTCCAAGTAATTAAGTAGGAAAGGTTTTTCTAGGCAAGGTTTTACTCTGAGTAAATGTAGAAGTCTTCAGTTCCCTTTTCTTCCTGTAATCACCTATCTCCTAGCAGAAACTTTTATAATTGGCTTAATTGTACAAAGCTAGCTCAGGTTGCTGCAGTCTCGATTCTTGAATCTGAATGTTATTTCAATATTGAGTAATATTAAGTTTTGAAAAGAAAATAGTTCAAATTTCTACAAAAGCAAACAGGAGGCACATCTGTGCCACTGAAAACGTGGCAACTAGTGATGCATTCACAGTAATGTTGTGGAGAACTTCAATTGCTTTTCTCCTACAAGTGTTATTTTTGTGTTAGTTGTATTGAACTTGTGAAGTTGAATTCACTGGAGAGAGAATGGAAATGAAATGCAAAAAGAGGTGCAATAAAAGGAAGATCTGCTTTTTCAGGAATTTCTGATGCTATCCTATTGGTCTGTGTTCTGAGAATACAGGAGGACAGCACTTGCAAGTTGCAAAACATGCCTTCCTTGTAAAATATGGTCCCTGCTGCTTGTTTAATTCACGTGTGTACACATATGCGAAAAGACTGAACAAGAGGAAATGGAAAGGCAAGGATAGACTCACAGAAGGAGTCAGATTCCATGTTCCTCTCGTTCATCTTACCACTGGTTTGTTTAAATATTGAAATGGTTTTATCACAAAAGGGTAATAAATCACAGGGTGGTGTGGTTTTTTTTCTTATGAGGGTTTTCTTGGGTAGTTTCTCCTTCATATGTAAGGTTTCTGTCTATGAAAACTCAAAAAACAAACAAACAAAAAAAAAACCACGAAAAACAATCATGCTATTTTATAGTAAATAACTGGATTTGTCTATAATTGGGTCAAAGCATGGATATAGACAGCTTTCACTAATAACCCTTTTCTAAAATTGTCCTCTAAATTGCATATACACCATTCTATGCAAAATGCTTTGTCTTTTGTGAAAGTAATATTAGTTTAATGTTCAACTATGCCTTAATGGTTATCTAATTCATATGTTCTAGTTAATTTGAAAATCCTGTTTGAGTAACCTAATCTGTACTGTTGAGAACTTACTGAGACTCGTTATAGAAGAACAAATCTTCTTTGGATCTTTAGCATGTAGTATGAAAGTACACCCCTTGCAAAAGCTGGGGCTTCCTCGTACAGTTGTCTCTTTAGTATTTAGATGCCAAAAAATCTGTTGTTTGAACTGCTTTGCATTGTTATAACATGAACTGACTATAAAATCTGATTTCTGACTTTTCAACTCTAGGAATCTCTACCACCTGTCCAGTTTGACTGGAGTAGCAGTGGCCTTACTAACCCTTTAGATGGTACGTCTCTCCGTAGAGCCTCTAGCGCCAGAGCTAGAGATAAGAAAACTACAAAGTTCAGACAAACATCTATCTGCTGATTATTTTTTTAAATATATACACACACATATACATATATAAATATATATTATTTATTTCTTACTCCTAACTTTGGAAATTCAGGCTTTCTTTCTGATTAACTGTGCTGCTATGTGAAAAATTATGTAGTTTGAAAAATACCAGGTGAAGTATTATTTTAGATTTGTGCCATATGCTAATGACACAGTGGCAATATTAACATTTCATTATAAATAACTGCTGATTATAATGAAACCCTGAATAAATGAACATTTTAGAGTGACGAGTTTTCCTTTGTAAAAGTATTTTTCACCGATGAACTCTCCTTAGACATCCTTTGAATGACTAACTTGTGTATAGTGGCTACTTCAAAGCACAATATTTTAACTGCAAACTATTTGCGAAAGATGCACTTCTTGACCTGAAAGTTTTCAGATTTACAGATAACTTTTTATATTTCAAAAATGTGACATCATCTGTTTTGCTTGCACTCAGTAGTTAATTAGAGCTAATATATTGAATAGGTAGCTACAAAGTTATTTCTATCTGTAGATGTATGTGATTATCACTTAGAACCCTTCACCTACGTCTGTTTTAATAGCAAAAAGCATTGTGCTGCCACCTCCAGTCTTAGAAATGTGAGTTTATGCAAATTTTGAAAACTTATTTGAATGATAGACTAAAGATCTTGAAAGAAAACAACACCTATAAGAGGAACCTGCTAATAATGGTTAATTTATAATGTATAAGTTGTTCAAAAGCAGGCTGAAAGAAATTGCATCTCTTGCTGCTTTGGTGATGCCTCAAGTTTCAGAACATGTAGGTTGTACCAGTTTGGATAGCAATATCATGGTGCTGAAGGAAAGCCTGGATGGACCCTCTTGCTGTTGTCTAGTGTCTTACTACTTCAAATCATCATGCTTTCTTTTTAACAAGCAACTTCTTTAAAATGTATCTTGGCTTAATTTCTGTTTCAGTACTAAAGGGGAACAGTATAATTCACCAGTGAGGAATTGGGTGTGAGAGTGGCATTTATTAACATATGTTCACACTGTTTTAAGATAATCATAATCAATTGCTTGGTTCTTTGCTATCTGGGGACCTGCTAAGTCTCCTTGATGAAAGAATGGCTGTCAATGTCATTAAAGGGAGGAAAAGCTCAGTATTTCCTAGCTATCAATTGATGCATATATTGTTTCCCTTTAATTGATCACATCTTTCTCTCTGGGTCTTGCTGGTTCTCTTCCATTTTTAGATTGAAATAAATATTTCTATTTTAAAGTTACTAGTGTTGATTTCCTTGCTTCATTGTACATGAGGAAATGTGCACTGAATTAAGTTGTTAACATTTTAAAGGTACAAACTAATACTGTAAGCATTGTTTTCATGTCAATTTTTAAATTGTGTACTGAGTACTAATTATAACTTGCATGTTCAAGTGTGTGTCTTACCCCTTTTTACACATAAACCCCTCCCTTGGCTTACCTTCTATATGGCTGCCTACCAACACGGTCACTGAATTTCAAGCTAGTGGAGGTTCCACTCTTCTGAACCTTGATTTCTTTGGGCCCGTGGATGACAGTAGCTCTAACAGCACCACCACAATCCCAGGTCAGCAGAGTGTTAAAACCACAATTGTAGTATAACAGCTTACTAAAAGCATGAGCACATCACTTGACTTTCCTATAAACAAGGAGAAATTTTACTTTCTGTTTCTCTAAAATGTCTCTCTACTGCATTTTTCCTTTAATCTGTGTTCTGTTTTCTGATGTTTGATATCAAGTGCGAAGTATTTAAAAGGTACTGTCAGCTCTGTTTTGTCACACTGGAGGAATGAATGGCTCTTTTGCTTTTGCAATTAAGATGTTAAAACACTTGTTTCAAACGAGAAATTCTGAAAGTTAAATTTTCCAAGTATACTTAAGAATAACTGAAAAATGGATGTGGATGTGACTATTAAAAATAATAATAAAATTAGGCTTGTTTCCTCTTCTAAATGAATGTCTCCAAATTGCAGAATTGCAATGTTAATTGGAAGTCGTTGAGTATAAAGGTATAGGGCTTAACGAATCACAACTTATATGGTATTGTCTTCTAACTGGAGACTAAATTTTGTCATGTCTGAAGTGCTAGTGTTAATGATAGGAGGAGAAAAAAGTGTTTTAACAGCATTCATAATAGAAAAATAAGGATAGCTGCATGTTTGTGGGGTGTTAGAAGTTCATGAATGCTAATTATAAAACTAAAGCTCTTCATCTGCAACTTAAGGAGGAGATGAAAATATTACTTTATCTTTTGAATAAAATGTGAAAGTAATTGAATTTGTTTTTCGTATGGTTTTGACATGCTTTGAGTATTTTATGTGAGCTTGTGAAAACCTACACTTGGAATAAATTGCCTCAGGAATTTAAGGGAATCCTCTGGAGATTTCTCTGGGTGCATAGTCCGAGCAGTTAAAGCAAATACTCTGGCAGGCATTGGATTGAAAGAGTTGGGAGGCCATAATAATCAAATTTCTTACAGGAATGGATTGTTAGTGTTTTATTTTGGGGTTTTTTTTTGTGTTTTTTCTGTCTCAGTGGTTTTAATTTTAAGAAACTAATTTTTCAAACCAATTTTGAGGCTGTCCAGTATTTTTTTAGAAGTGCTAATAATTATAGTTATATTTTCTGTTTCTAAAGAACTGCCTTCTCACTTTTGCAATTTGATCATGGAAGGCAGTTTTATGGCACCCCACTCCAAATGTGGTCTTGTTCCGCTCACGGTGGAACCATCAGGTAAAAGATAGCAGCAGGTTTGTCGTGAAAGTGACAGGTTTCTGACAGCAGATTTGAGATTCTTGAGTCTAGATTCTCTCCCAAGCGCGTGCAAGTCTACTGACGTGTAATTCGCCAGTACCTGGTACACGTGCTGCTTGTGCAGCCACATGTCCCACTATTCTGCTGCTGCTGTGCACACATGAAGTCATGGTGGACTACCATATCAGCCTTTTATTGCACTCATTTATTTATTTCTTTAGTCTGTTGTTGTTTCATCAGCTGCAGGTATTATCACCTTCCCTGGTATGCCCTATAGTGCCTGTTTTTAGTTTTTCCTTTTCTTTCCTCCTGACTTGTTTCTGGGAAAGTCATTTGTTTCTTGGCTTGCAGCTCATGTGTTTGTGTGTGTGTTTAGGAGCTTTGTGTGGGGTTTGGTTGGCTAACTTTCCTTCAATATCTCATTAAGGTTTTGCAGTGCTCTCCTTAGCTGTTCTCTGATTGCTTGAATAAAATGGAGAATATGCAACTCTTACTTAAAACAAATTAAGAAGTTACATAAAAATCAAAAGACGTTGTTATGTCTTTTAGCTTAAAAGTAACCTTTTTATCAGTTGTAGAAGTTTGTTATATCTCTGAAGACCTTAGTTTTATTATATTAGAGCTATACTGTATTCTTTTCAGTCTGTTCTAACCAATAGCCAAAATAACACTTCATAAAAATCTACATTCTATGCCATGATCTAGAAGTTACTCATTTCTAGTATGTTCCCACAGATTTACTGTGTTGTTTTATTTTTCACATTGAAAGTTTAACGTAAACCTAGCAGAGTAAAAGGTGTGTAATGGAATAGTAAATTGAGCAGAGGCATCACATTGCAATGAGGGTGAATTCAGGACCGTAAATGTCTGAATGATGTAATTTATAAGGTTGCATTTAATGCCTGTTTCAGAGTTGCATGTCAAAGAACTCCTTATTTCATTTGGTTTTACAATTTGTACCTTAATGGGATTTCGCAGGCTTCTGCAAGTCAAATGTATATCTTCAAGTCTTCCTCTCCCTGTTTGAAAGTGGATATTTTATGCAATTGTTGGGCTTGTTTCTTTTTCCATGTTCTGTAAACATCTGACAGTACTTAAAGTCATGGTATCCTGGTCTCAGTACAGTACATATTTTGGTGTTTCGTATGAAACTGGTTGAAATTCATTTTGCAAATCCAGACTGAAACGTGTAGGTTGAAGGGAGAGCTGATTATTTTCTCATAAACTCGTATTAAATTGACCAAATCCTTCCCCCTGCCTCCACCTCCTCAGCTTAACCAGATTATTTTCTTAATTTTCCTTTTTGATTGACTTGGTTTTCTCACAATTAAGATGTATTACCACTTGTATAGAAATAAGGAATGCTCAAAACACTGCTTTTGAAGCATTCGTGTAAAGCAGGCACAAGGGTTATTATCCTCATGTTTGCAACCACAGTGCTGCATTTACTGGGTGGAAAAGGACAGCAGGCACAGGATTTTTTTGTTATTCAGTCAGCTCTTGATATTTCAGGAATACTTCTAAATATGTCTTAATCTGAGCAAGCAGACTGAGAAAACCACCGCCGTACCAAGCTATACGTACTAGTTTTATCTTAGATATCTATGTGTGACTGTCATATCCAAGGCTTTGCAGCATTTGTTCTGCAGTAATACAAAATGCTTCTGTATTCTCCAAACCAACTGATACCAGCATTATACTTTTTCAGAATGCAGGTGTCTACAAAATGAGATGTTTCTGTCCAAATTTATACTATTTTTTAAAGTTATTTGTAGTTGAGGATGATGCATACGTGCACTTCATTTAAGACCAGGAAGCACAAAATAGCTGCAAGTGGGACTAGAGCAATATCAACAATTTCAAATGCTCCTGAGCACCAAGATGTGGTATAGCAGTCTTGAAATATTTTAGTAATTTCAATTGTTGACATCTGGTGACTTTAATAATAATAATAATATAGTTTTTAATTGAAATGAATTTGCAACATACATACCATCAAAATACAGAATCTGATCTAAGACAGCTGAAACTAGGAAATCCAGGCTGAAGATTCTGGATACGTGATGCTTTATAAATAAATGAAAGATGAAAAGGGAGCACAGGCAAACAGTTTTGGTAGCTGTATAAATATGGTTGTGTAACTTTTTAAAAATGCCATTCCACTTGTATGCATCATAAAAGCTGTTTTTCCTCACTTAAAAATAAAATAGATTTATCACATCCTCCTGTAAAAAGCAATACACTGAACTCGCTGTAATATGTGCCAGTGTTGTGTAATCTGTCACTAAACAGCTGGTCACTGTTAACCATCAGCATTCTTTTAATAGCAGCAGTTGAGCTGAAGTAATTGAAATAATCCCTTTTAACACAGCTGGCATTTTACAGGTATTTCGCTATAAAAGGTAAATTAAATTAGTTTGTTTACTCTTAGACTGAGACCTTGCATGCCAGACTTGATCCAAGGCGTGTGTACTTTGTAATACAGCTTTGAAAGCTACTGAAAAGGGTGGGGAGAGAAGATGCTGTTTTAGAAACAGACATGTTCTGTCATGTTCTTTTCATGTATTTTGAAATTTTAAATGATTCAGATGTTTACAGAAAACAGTCTCTAGCAAGCTGGTCTATGGCTAGTTATGACTATCGTTGTCTCCAACCATCACTGATTATCATTTTATACTATAAGGTGTGGATCCTGAGTTGTATGAATTGACAACCTCAAAACTGGAAACTTCCAATGCAAGCAGCAGAGTGACAGATGCATTTGCAAGACTCATGTCCACAGTAGAGAAGGCAAGCACGTCTACAAGGTAAATAACATTGGTCATGCTGCTTTCTTTTTTCTGAGGAGTGAATGTGTGTGCTGTTTGTGAAGGATCAAAACGTTGAAAACGTAAGCCAAGGTTGCATGTTACAAACATCAAATCTGTAGTTTGGATTTTGTCTTATCACAAAACTCTAAAAGAGGATGGGAAACAGTTTGTGAGCTGGCAGAAGTCACCACAGTTAACTTCAAAAGCTAGAACCAAAGACTTAATTTGAGGATAAGACTTGCTGAATAACAGAACTAATTCCTAAGAGTGGAAGGGTAAATTGAAGCTCCCAGTTTGAGCTGCTAGGACCTTGGCAGGTGGCTCTTCTAGGTCTCCTACATAGTTGCTAGACAGAGATATGGGTCCAGCACCTGTAAAAAAATGTTGATGATCAAACATCAGATTCGTTTTGCTGTTGCAAGTTACTTTTTAGGAGCTAACATATAGCTTGTGTGGCTGGTTCATTATATCCTTTCTGCTTTGTGGAGCTCATGCAAAATTCTTCCGTACTTAGCTCTGTGGATAGAGTATATAAAGGCTTTATATGTCAAATGTCTTCCTTGACATCTGGCCTGGTGAATAGGTAGTCTTCCACTTCTTAAGCTTGAATACTTTGGTTTGTATTTTTAATATACATCTTAACAGTAGAATTGTGAACTGTATTAATAAATAGCAATTATGCACATTAGAGAGAGACTGATTCTTAGCAGTGAAATGCTTTTATTGTTGAGGAAGTACATGTCTATTTTATAGACGTATATTTTATAGTTGCTTTGCAACTAATAGCAAGATGTCTTCTCTCTGAGCTTCAGCTCTCTAAAACTAAATAAATGTGTTTCTATGCAGCATAACACTTAAGGCACACAGGTACAGTTGAATAGAATTGCAGCGTGTGTAAGGAATTCTAATGGTTGGATATAGCAGCCTTGTGTAAAATAAGTAACTCTAAAATTTTCACAGCTCTTTTAGAACATATTATTTCACTGAGAAAACAGTCTTGATAGTTTTCCTGCAGTGAAAACGTTCGAGGTGAATGCTGAATAAAAAGACCAACACACTGAAATTTCAAGAGAGAACCAGTAGAGGGAACTCCATACCTCAGTGCTGATTTTTCCTCCACTTTTGGATTGCCTGTTTCTATCCACGGAGGGCATATACTTCTTGTGAAGATAAGGTAGTGGGAAAGCCTGACTTTAACTAATTAGCAAATGTAGAAATAGTTGGAAGTATTTTTGTAGTATATTCAAAGTCTAACTTAAAAGTAACCACAAATTTGCAGCAGGGTATACACACTCCACATATTGTTATCTATTCTCTTTATCTCCATTCTTAGATTTGTCTGCTTGTTTGGCAGACCTTTAAGATATGTCTGCTTTTTATTTACAAATGAGCAGTGCAGTCTGCTTTGCTCATGCATGCTGACCTTCATTTTTCTGCTATTTTCTTTGGGGGTGAGTTTTTTGTTTGCTTGTAAATGCTTCCACAGAACACTTGAAACTTTTAGTTGCTCTGTTGGAGCTCGATTAGATATCAAAGCTCTTCCTTAGTTCTGGAGAGCATTGCTTGGTAATGGGAAAAGGTTCTAGACTGGTGCTATTGAAATACAGTAGGGAAAGTTGAAGGCCTCAAATGTTCCAGTTATGTTCAGATACATGCAGATGAGCTGCTTTAAAGCAGCTGTTTTCAGTGATAAACATGATTTGTGTGTTTTTGTCAGCTCTGAATCTTAAAGTGTTTTTTTGTCTTTTCATATGCTCTGGAAAAAAAACCAGTGTCTTGAAAAACTAAAACCCTCAGAAATACAAGGTCTTATCTCTCAGCAGTATGCTAGATATGTTGTAGTGTGTTAGCTTTGTCCAGCAGAATTGCTTTTTTTTTTTTTTTTTTTTTTTTGAATTTTTTACCTACCCTTACCCTGGGCAAGGGCAGCTCAACGAAGATGGCCCACATGCACAAAATGGAAACAGACTTAACCATTCCTGGTAAATCAGGGGGAGATGTGGCCAGTGAGTAAGTGTTGCTGTGATGGCAATTTCAGTTGCTCTAAGACTACCCCGTATTTATCTGCAAATTATCTGAATTCAGGATCTTTGAGGTTAAAGTTTAGAGGGAGGTACCAGTTCAGCTATAGGAAGCCACCTTTCTTTGAAATAGCTCCATCTTTTGCTATTGAAATGATTACCTGAAGTTGGAAAATCAGTTTCTCAAAAGGAAAGGGTTGGGAGAGGAGGAGGAACGTTGCAGCTTGAGTATGACCCCTTGAAGGTAGCAGTTAGTTTTGAATGCCATCACTATGGGGCAGCATTCTGCTGGGGCTGTGGCCTCGCCCAATCAAAAGTTGACTTCTGGAAGGAAAAAAGAGCCCTGATGCCATTCTAAGAAATAGCTGAAACCCTCATTTAAACTGGAGATATTCCATATGGGTAATGTTGGATGTAGCAGGCTAACTCTTAATTAGAGAGTGATTTTTAAAGTCTCTAATTGGCTCATTGTTGCCATTAGATCCTGGCCTTTTTGGTGACATCCTTCAAACCTTTTGCAAATGCAAGTGATCACTGAAATCCTGAAAGACTGAATGCTGCATGAAGGGGTTAGAATGTAAACTGGAACAGTTGGCTGTGAGTGACACATCAGCAAAGCATTATGTGTTTCTTACTGAGTCTTCTTCCAGCAACTTTTGTGCCTGTCAGTCTGGCTAATTTCTTGCAGCTTGGTGTTAATGTGCCATTATAAAAAGAAGAAAAAAAAAAAAAGCTTCATGCCAACAGGTAGAAGAACAAGTATAATTGCTTGGGGAAAGGTATTCCCTCAGTTCCCTGTCTTGGGAAGAAATGTAACCTGATGTAAGAGAAGAGGTGGAGAGGGCAAAGTGTTTTCTTGAAGGTAGTTTTAAAGCCTTAATGATGTTAATGTAAAACTAGTCTGCAGTGAATGATGGTGCTTTAACTCTCTATAAACTTAGATAATGAGTAATTGTTTAGGGTTGCCCTGTGATATTTGCTACCGAAGGTGTTGATGAGTCCGTTACCCAGAAAGGGTAATTGCAGTGTCCAGTCTTACTGTCTTCTGGGGGAGCCTACACCAAATTAAATGCAGCGCTGCCTCCAAGACCCAGCAGTGCAATTTCTTAGCATGACACAGTTGCGCAGAGGAGGAAGAGGCATATAAATAGCAAGGAGTGTGTGAGCTCCATCTTGGTGCCTGATTACAATTGCAGGAACTCCTTTTAATGCAGATCTCTGAGTCAGCCCTCTTCCTTTGGCTTCCTCTGTCAAATACTCCTTTGTTAGCTGTAAGTCCTTGATCACCAGGAGTTTGTACCTTTAAGAGGCTTGTGGTAAGTGATTACTAATAGTGGTACCAGATACTGATAACACAGTGGTGGGTGACAAACACATTTCAACAGCTCAGAGATAGTCCTTAGAGTGCGGGCAGCACTGACAGGGAAGCTGTTAGAGAAGGCTGCACATATTGGCTCTCTGCTTCTTCCGTCAGTAAATCCAGCACACAGCTTTGTTTATCCTTCAGAATTTGGTAATCTGCCTAGTCAGTGGCTCATGAAATTCCACCGCAGCAGAGAAAAGAAAATATTGCTATTCTAGCAAAGAAAAGTCAGATTTAGTATCTATAATGCCTCATCTTGAGATCTTTCATCAAGTAGAGACTTCAAGTAGCAAACAAAACTGATAGCTCAGTGTCAACACAATGATCAGTGATGTCAAGGATGAGTTTAACTCCAGTTTTTTCTCTTGTTCCTTTAGCCAAGAAATTCTGAGAAATGCTGAAGGAAACATGTAGCTTCTTGCTTTCTCCTGATCTCTGATCAGCTTAGGGAACCATCCTGATGGGTGCTGACAAAAAAGATGCATGACTATATGTTGTGTTGTGATTGGAGTAGTGATTTCCCTCTCACAGACACAGCTGAAAGTTTGTAGCAGTGGATAAGATATGAAAAGGAAATTTCTGAAATGCTTTATGGAAAGGCAGTTTGTTTCTAGCCTTTTGTCTCAGCTTTCCACTCTGTGGCAAAGGAGCTTCTTCAGCAAGGATTTCTAATGTCATTGTAGGGTATAGCTAGTGCCTTTCTTGGGATTATTTGGTTTTCTAGTGATGGTCAGGGTTCTTCATGATAAAGCACTATGTATGAGCATGTGGGCATTGGATGGGATCTTCTGTGGCTGTTTGAACCATTTTACTTAGGAAGTGTGAGTTTCTTGCGGAACAGTGAGAACCAAACAGCATGGGGTTCAGATTCTTCATTCATCTGTGCTCAGTAATTCTGGTGAATAATGCAAAAGGCAAAGTAAATACCACTGGTTCCCCCAACTGCTGTGTGCATCCTTATGGCTACACATGCTATTGCACTTCAAAGCAAGTTAGCTGCAAGTTGTGAGCTACCTTTTGCTGATGATGAGACCTTGGTGGGGGGGGAGGGGGAGGAAAGGGCTTGTGGATCACACTGTAGAGAAGTATAGTATATAATCAGAGTGTAGTGGTGTTGGAAACACATCTTAAGTACACTTCTATTACTTTTTATTTTTAAAGGAGTATGCCTGGAACTTCTTAATGAACTTTCTAGATTTTTCCATTTTATACTGAAAGATTATGCTGAACTTAGGCAGTTTAAAGCTTACGTTCCTTTTGTCTTAGCTCTAGAATATGAGTATGGCAGTTTCTTCGAATGAATAGTCCCAAAATGGCACACTGGAACTTGCCTCCCCCCAGATAAATTAGCATCTGAATAGGAAATAATTTATCCTTTTGCAACAGTATTCAGGAACATTTTGCTGACTTCCCATTGAATGTTCTGTTGGAAGGCAGGTATGTATTATAACATTAGCCTAGCTTCAAATGGGTTACAGAAGTGCCTGTCTGTGGGAGACAAACTGACAGAACGTTGCTTCAATCGGTGATTCTTTCAGTGATCTGTCGGATTGCAGGTACTAGATTAATGCACTTTTTTCTTTTCTTCTTAACAGGAAGCCTAAAAAGGAAGAACATCTTAGTGAAGAGGCTGCCAAGGTGATTTCTAGCCTTCCTGACTTAACTTTCATGCATGCCAAGGTGTTGATGTTCCCAGCCACATTAACACCTTCAACAAGCTGCCAAGAAAAGGTAGACTAAAGTGATGTGAATTGGACGTTTTCTATTGATTTTTTTCTTCCCTCTATGGGTCATGAAAAGCAATCTTGCTTTAATTAAAACAACAAAAAAAAATCAAGTTCAGATGATTTGTTGGTAAGCAGCACTAGAAAGGTATACATAGTTATGTATATTTATTTACATACTGAAGTCCTAAATTTATATTAGAGAAAAATGTAAATAATTGGGGGTAAATCTTTTTGAAGATCTATTCTTTTTGTTGTGCTGGGGTGTATACATTTATGTCTTTGTGAAATACACTGGTGGTGTCCTTCTTACAAAACTTTAAAAAGTTTAAAATATATATATATATCCTAGAAACACATAATGAAAAAACTTCAATCTTCACAATACGTGAAGTCCCCTTTAAAAGTTTTCAGATTGCATTGAGTGTCTTTTTCTTTCCTGCATATATTAAAATACTTTTTGATGGGAAAACAGAAGGTTACATTGAGGGGTTTTAATTGTTTTTTTAAACTCGATCTTTTCTCTTCTGTTTTAACAAGCTTAGGATGTGTTCTTCCTTTTCTTCTCCCCCTTTCCTTCCCTGGTTGATTGGTTGACTGATCAATTTTTGTTCTTAAACTTCAGTGGTGTGGTTCTGTCACTATATAGCCTTTTGAAAAGTATGCTGTCAGTAACTTTTCGTTCCAGTTATGGATCCTTGTCTAAACACTTGATTTTTGGGTCATTAGGAGGTTGTCTACTTTTAATCAGTTTGATTTGGAAAAGAAGGACCAAAACTATATGAATGTCTTACAATGAAATTTATCTGTTAAAAATTCTTATGTTCTGTTGTACCACTATTTCTGTTTGATTTTGCACAGTGTAAAATGACATAATCATAGATTGCTATGGTTTTAGGCTGTATATACAGTAAAAACTATGGGTTGTAAATGTTTGGGGAAATTCCTATGGAAAAAAGAGAGCTATGTAGAAGAACCTCTAAAAAGGTCAATGTGCATGCCCAAGGTCTTTTGAGATTTAAGTGTGTAAATTTCCTTTTAGCTTACACAAAATAAAATAATTTAAAAGATATATATGTATATAGTCTGTTTTCTTTTTATCCAGAATGTATACATTACTGTTGATGCTAAAATTGATGTGCTGCGTTAACAGCAGAACCTTTTAATTTTTGTTGTACAGTTCCATGACACACATTTATCAGGGTCCTGCAGAAGGAGAAGCAGACTTCTCTTCAACTGTCCTATCTATTTGAATATGTAATGTCTTTTATTTCTGCCTCTGACTTAGAGGGGGCTGTGGCTCAAGACATGTTGGTATTTGAGATTAAAGACTTTTTCAAAATAACAGGCAGTGCTGAACTGCAAGAAACACAAATTCAGATGTGTGGGAAGGGACACCTGGTTTTGCCTGTTTCCTAGATAGAATTAAAATGTAACTGTAGCATTTACTTATTTTTCCTAATGTGTTAGCTTGCACCGTAGCTCTTTCAGCAAATTCTCTTCAGATGACATCTGTGAACTACTCAGAATTGAGTCTGCAGGTAAGGCATGCTCTGGGTGCGGATGTTCTTTGAGGGGGCTTTGTGTGGGCAGAGAGGCTATGCATCTAACCTTTTCTATGCACACAGCTCTTTAAGTGGTAGTCACCAGCACTTCATCAGCTGACAACTAGTTCTGAGAAACCTCCAATGCATTTTTTACCTCTTCTTTGAATTCTTTATCCTCTGACAGCGCTTGGATCAGAAAAGGTAAAGTCAGAGTTTGATGTTACCAGCTGATAAGCTGAAATGTTGTCCTCGCAGACTTTTCTCTTGTAGGAGGAGCCTTCTTGAAAGATTAGTACTGGATGGAGTTCTACCTTTGTGAGCACAGGAGTTCCAGTGTGTGGTGGCTGCTCAGAATTGAAAGAGCAGTTCATATAGTTGTTAATTTGTAAAGGCTAAACTGACTCTTTTGCCCTCCAGTCAGCAATGCAATGTGCAGTGCTATAGTAAAAAAAAAACAAAACAAAACAGAAAACAAAAGAAAACACACACACACACACGCACACACGCAAACCTGCACTCTTTTGTAGTTGAGAAGATTTATGCAAAAGCCAGCTGCTTTACTGTATACATCCAAAAAGCTTACATTTGCTTTAGCAAATCTTCATTGCTCACTTCATGCCTGTTTCACCTCAAAATTTGCTTTGCTGTTCTCACAGGTTTAGCATAGTATTCTTTAATGCCTGCTTATTTTATTGTTCATTTCTGTTTGGCTGCTGTAGGTTAAAAATGGCCCTTTTGTTCTTGTAACTGTAGTGTGTCCCTTGGAGCTGGAGCTGTGGTATAGCTGCAGCAGAGAGCTATAGCTATTGTTCCAAGGAGAATATGTTTAGGAGCTGACTCATGATCCTTGTCTGGCAGCGAATGGACTGAAGTATTAAGGAGAGGTGGGGGTGGAAGTGCCAGCTGCAAGTTGATCTTTAGTCTCCTCACAATTGCCTCTAGAGGCAGCTGCCCATTTGTCTTACCAGGCCTCAAGTGCGGTCCTAGTGGCCTGCTGTAAATGGGGGAAGGGAAAGAAATGGCAGGGAAAGGGATTTCTGTTTTGAGTGATGAACCAATCTGATGCTCTGTGAAACCTGGTGCTACCCACAGCGTGTTTATGGAGGTTTTATGTTGTTTCTGCCAAAAATGAAAAATAAACGATTACCACTCACAGACCTACTCTCTGCTGAAAAACATAAATCTTCCATCTAAATTCAGCCTTTTGAGATGGATGCTGTTTGCCTTAAAAAGCAGTGTTGCTTTTCAGCTGCTTGTTTAATCGAACCCCTTCTTTCTTGTCAGTTATGGGATGGACAAAAAGATTCTTCTACCTCTCTCCTGTCTTTTAAAGGCAGTTTTGTCTAGCATCTAGTTTACATGGAGGTGACCTTCCGTGCTACTCCCACTGACAAGATGGCTCTTGTCTAATTCAGTCTGGCTGGTTAAGTTTGTGGGCAGTATGGTCATTGGTACTTTCTGCACACGTGTGTTGCTGTGCATTGTCTTCTGACATGTCAAGGGGTACCACATTCACTTGAGAAGCACTGTCATTGAGCAGCAAGGCACTTCTGTGCTCATCCAACAGAAGCAGCAAAGGACACTTGGTTGGGATGCAGCCAGCAGGGTTGGAACGTGGCCATAAAGCAAAGTCCAAAGCTCCCACTGTGAAGAGAGCTGCAGGACCCTGAATAACTGCAAAGAAGAGTTGAACTGTGCTGGTGTTATCCACAAGACTGCACTCTGACACTCCATGGTTCAGTGCTGACTTACCATGAGCTTTGCCACCTGCTGCACTGCCTCCAGGACTTGAGGCTGTAAGTCTTCCTCAGAATACTATTAGTTTGACAGGTTCACTTTGAGATCCCAAAAATGAAGCTTATGAGTAATGTACATAAATGCCCTCCTGTGTAATTAGTGTGTACAGAAGCCAACCTTTTGTCACACTGGATTGCTGAGCACAGTTTTACGTGATAGTGAAATCACTGTGTGACTGTTGTTGAGCTGTTGGACTGCAGGACCACTGCTCTTCAGCTGGATATCTAGGGATCTGTGTAAGATGCAACAGAGGTTTAACTCAGTATGTATAAGGTAGATCAGCCCTGGTGCAATTGCTTATCTCCAGGTACAACTCTTCTGCTACACTTCTGTACCTATGTATAAGTATCTGAAAGAAGGATATCTAGTTGCAAGATACACTTGAATATAATTTATAATAGCATATGGCATGTAATGATTGTACAGCAGCTTCTAGGAGTGTCTGCTTACAAAAGCAGAGAAGTTGGTTTGTAATCTGGCCCATGCTGAACAGGTGATAAAGGCAGCAGGCAGCCTGGTGTGCTCCCCTAGGTGAACCTTGAACATGAAAGCAGGGAAAAAGAAGCACCTCGTTTGCTCATTTGTTATACATTAAGGACTCTGCAACATCAGGGGTTAGGTGCATGTGCTGAGTACCTGAAACTGCTGGAGCTCTTGTTTTAATCTTGTCATCTCATTCTTAAACTCTTAAGATGTGTTGTTATCCCTGAATTATGGCAGGGTTGTGGAGACCAGCTCTGTTTGATGTGCCATGATTATCTTTGAAGTTTGCCAGCGATGTCTGAGAAGGACTCAACTGATAGAAGTGTCAAAAATACCTCACAGGCATAGTGGATGCTCACTGTCTTCCATCTGGATTTGCTGTATTGTCACCCAAGAGATTTATTCCTATATTAGGGGTTCTGAATCTTCCTCTGCAGATCCACTGTTAATCTGGACTCTGCTCACCTAATTTTAGGGCAAATATCCCCCAGAGGTTCCTAACGCTACACGTAGGAATTGGGCTGTGTGCCTTAAATAAGACTTGGGGCTACTTGTAAAGTGTGAAGGGGCAGAAAAATACTTCTCTTTCAATTGGAATAGGCCGTGGCCCTGCAGAAGGTAAAATAATGAGCAACTAAGGACTAATTCAAAGGAGAGTCAGGTACCGTAGATACTTTGAATGTTTGGTTAAATAGATTTAGTAGTCCTTTTTGTGTAGTTTTCCCAGTGCTTAATGATACTTTTGTTGTAATTTATTTGTTTAGAGTATGTATGCACACATGCAGAAAACCAAACCTGAGGCATCAAAATGAAGCTGACCCTTCTGGCCCTTCTGTTTCCTTCAGACAGTGAAGAACTGCAGTGAGCACAGCTACTGAAACCAGGTGTGGTTTTAAAGATGGCCTTAATCTTATAAATGGTAGGAAGTATTGTCTCATTTGAGCTCGTCTTCAGCAGTTGGAAGGCATTAAACAAAGGGAGAAAAGCAAGTGCTTTGGATCAGACCTTAATCTTTGACTGGCCTTCAGCTGCTCAGGAGGCTGCCTTTTAGCAAACGCTGTCCAGCATAGCTCAGGTAACTGCAGCCTCACGCTGTAATGCAGTGAGCCTGCAAACCTCGCTGTGATGCAAATAAGGTAGATGGTGATAGGACAAGGGGGAATGGTTTTAATCTAAAGGAGCAGTGATTTAGATTAGCTGTCAGAGGGGAGTTTGCTACTGAGAGTGTAGTTGCACTGCTGACTGATTTAGTCCTGTAGGTGCACCAGTGTAAGGACTTTACAGAAAATAAGAGTTTAGCTGGATGTCTCCCAGTGGCCCTTCAGCTCCTCATTCAGCTTCAGGGGAGGGTGCTGGGAGCAGATTACAGAGAAGTTGAGTAGTGGAAAGTATCTAACAGCTTCTTCAAAAAGGACAGAGGTTGGCTCATGATCCGTGAGATTTTCTGATCCTGTTTGGTTCTTAAACTCCAGGAGTCATGGTACAGATACAAAAAAAAAAACTTGGCTGTTCAGGAAGTAAGTTGAAAATAGACATGAAGTATCCTCAGCATGTGCCTTCAAACTCTCCCTTTCATCACCCTTCCCAGCCTGAATCTCATAAACTGTTTTGTCCAAGTTTCAGCAACTTGGCCTTAAAACCTGTTTGCACAAGAAAGCCAACCTTCTTGGTAGATTTTCTTTTTTTTTTATGAGCGTGTTACTCCACTGAGTGCAGGGACTGAGTTTTCATTAGGAGCACTAAAGCCTTTTGTCACTTTGTTAATGCTGGATTGAGTTAAGAATCACCTGCAGCTGGTAACGGGTGTTTTGCAGCTGTTTAAGGCTATTACAGGTCACTCTGCTGTCTCTTGGACAAAGCTGCTCTGCTCTGACAGTGGAAAAAAGCAGCACATATGGCTGCTTTTAAGGATACGATTTTCCTTCCTTTTCTGTTGTGTTTTTGGTTTTTTTTAACCCTCTCTTTCCTTGTCCACCTACGTGAAGCTCATTCTGGCAACTTTCCTCCTGTTTTGGCCAGGGAGGAGGAAGCAGGGTGGAAAGGGAGGAATTAACAGCTGTCCTTTAGGTTTCAAATCAATGCAGCTCCTTAGCAGGCTGGCAGTGTGAGCTCAGTCATTAGGAAAGCTGCTCTTTCATTCAGGAGGCAGCCTGAGCCAACTCTCCCCAGCCCAGGACCGAAGAGGTAGGGAGTTCAGGCCTTTCCAGCTTGTAGGCCCATTGCAGCTGGCACAGGCTCCTCTTCCCAGTGTTTCATTTCTGCAGTCTGCTGGAGGACCCTGCTGGCACAAGAGATGAGTCTGTCTCGGGAAACTAGCAGCATTTTGCACAGGGTGTGCTTGAGTTTTCTCCTCATCATAAAAGCCTCCTTCATCTGAGATTGAAGTGGATGTAGGATGGAGATCAGGAGTTTCCTATAAGGAAAGCTCTGAGTTGAATAGGTTTTTAAGAAAACAAGCTGGAAGGGTGCTAGACATTCCCTTAAGTACTCTTAGCACCATGGCTGTCCTTGACCTGCATGGGCAGTGCTGCCCACAGGGGTAGGGTTAGTGAATACCTGAAATCTCATTTGTGAATAATAACTTGTGTCCAGAAACCTTCCTCTCTGGTGTCTCATTCTGCTACTTCTGAGCAGCAGAGTCACAATTCATTGTTTGTGAACAAAACGTCACTACCCTGGTTTACAAGGGGTAGTGAAAGAGCAGTGGTATGCAGCAGCAAGGGGGATTTTAGCATGTCTCCAGGGAGAATTTTACAGATCTCCCAACGTTGATGCTAGAGAATCCTTTTGGTTTGTTTGAGGGAGACGAGTGTTGTCCGCAGCATGGGACAGTAAGACAGCAGGCCTCATTTAGCTGCAGGAAGGTTGGTGAGTGGGAACAGTGCTTTTCTAAGGTGTTTTGTTGTTTTCTTAATGAATTTGGGTGTCTAATACCCATTTATTGCCTCACAAGCCTCCTGGTCTTTTGTGGTTGGAAGAGTTAACGCTGCTGAAAGATGATAAACAATAATGCCATTTGCTCCAGGTTGGCTTTCCCTGAATTGGATGGGTTGTGGATGCAGGTGGCTGCTGCAGATGCATGGAGTAACAGGGCAGTTCTGATTCCTATTAGCAGCTCACCAGAAGTTTTTATGGAAGGGGGAATAAAAAAGCAAAAAGGCCTGCTTTTCTCTGCAAGGGCTGAATTGGTTCTGCAATTGTCACTGCAGAATTGAGTGTGCTAAAATGCACTAGGACATTCTTTCCATCGACTTTCCTACCAGCAAGCCTGCTGCTGAAGCATTAGGGTAAAACTAAAGCACTGGGGGGCAGGGAGAAGAAGCAGGCTTCCATTTATGGACCAGTGGGGTCTCCTCGTTCCTTAGTCTGCCTTGTTCACTTATTTGCTGTCTGCATTGTTTATTTCTGTTTCCCTGAGTACTTCTCACAAGAGTTCTTAGCTCATTTGTGTTTTAATCTTCCTGATTTGTCTACAGCCCTGGCTGCTGTAATCTCTGCAGGTCACTGTGCAGTCTGCATGTTTCTTACTCCGTGGCTGTTTGCTGCGATCAGCACATTTGATCATGGTTGAATTTACATCAAAGAAGCACCTGACAAAGAAGCAGACCTGATAATAGGCTCTGGTTTCTTCTCAGCAACCCAAACAGGTAGATGTGAACAAGGGAGCTCTGCTAGGATCACAGGGGAGTTCATGCTCTACTTTCAGCATGGCTTGCTTTGCTCTCCTGCCTGATGGAGCCTGGCAGACCCTGCTGCTGCTGCATGCTCCCCCAAATAGAGCTGCTGCTGGAAAAGAGGAAAGCAAGGCAAAGGAAGGCCTTTCCTCCTGTAAAACAAACTCATGCATGGGAAATCCTAATTAGCTGGAGAGAGGGGGGAGGAAAAGATGCTTTGGCTGTTGCTATTGTAGCTGCAGAAGTGCAGCTCACAGATTACAGCTGCAGCCGTGGTGTGATTGTTCCCTGCTTCTTTAGGGTTGCTCGAAGAATAGGCTGATAAATTCAAGACTAGCTTCTCTAGCAGAACACTTCAGCTTAAGTGTCTAAATAGGGTTTTTGTGTTTGCTTTCGTTTGTATAGTTTATACTCCCCAAGCCATTTTCCTTGTCTAGAGCTGGCTGTGAGCAACTGATGATTTTTTTTTTTTTTTTTTTTTTAAATAGTGGTCATACATAATTATATGTGATTATAGACAGATACAAAATGATAGGTACCTAACAATGTCTACCTCCAATTCTAGGATTCTTTGAGACACCGGATGCCCTTCAGATGCTCTTCAGAGACCTCTGTGCTTTAGGAAGAGGTGTTGGGTAGGAGCTAACATTGCTCAGCTGGGCTCAGCCTGCTCGGTGAGGATAGCTGCATTGCTACGGGTTGGCGTAGCAATCAAGTTGAGATCAAGTCCCCGATTTCTGGGTTAACCACAGTCAAAAACCACACTTAAAATGTGCTTTTCCTATGGTTATTCTGGGTGATAAACTCAATATAAGATGAAGCTATTGAAAACAGATTGCTTTAACCCTTTTCAGCAGGGCATGATTCCCCGGTACAGAAAGTTATCTGTGGGTGGCACAGGGGTGTCCTGGAGTGACCATGCCAGGTTGCCTGTTCACTCCTGCACAACAGGTACACGCGGTGCCCAGAACACTCTCCAGCTCTCCGGGTCCAGCCTGCACATCCTGCTGCAAGAATGGAATCCCAGCACACCGCGAGGCTCAGCACTTCTGTCTCCGTGCACCTGAGGTGAAGGCCTTCAGCAGCCTCTGCCCCCCTGGACTGCAGCCAGGTCTGTTTTTCCCCCATCCCTCCCTGAGCACACAGCAACTCAGCCGGCCACGCTCTCCTCTAATCCTTCTTCCCTGTTCCCCGTGGGGACCTGCTGAGGTTCCCATTGCACCAACGGGTGCCAGCCCCACTGCAGGGAGCGGTGGCGAGGCAGAAGGTCACGGCAGGAGCACGGGACGTGGGAGGGGAGGTAGGAGCAGGGCTCTGGCAGCAGGCTGCAACTTGCTGCCTCTCCAAACTCATCCCCAGGCCTGTGCTGGGGAGCCGTCCCTCCTGCCTAGCGCGTTTTGCTCTCCCCCACCCCTTTGCCTAGGATTACACAGTGCTGGGGTGTCTGCTCTCGGGTGTGGGACTGAAAACTGGTCAGACCGACCCGCAGCAGATGATTCACCGGCTGCATTTCGGCCCTCGCTTTGTTCCCATGGCGTCTGTCGGCAGCTGGCAATTTTTACAGCCGTGCTCGTTGTCATCCTGCATGGTGCTGTGCCAGGAGCCCCCGCTGGGCAGCAGGGACTTGTTGCAGCCACCCTCCTTTCTGCAGGCAGCCCTGAGGGTCCCGGTGACCTGATCTATTGTGTCCAGGCTTTGTAGGAACCCACTCTGAGGGCAGAGGAGATTGCGTTGGAGTTACCCTGAACAAATAGAGCTGGTCTGAAAGCACTGTGGTGCCGGAGGACCATTGGAGGCCTCCAGGAGCTATGGGTTTACCCAAGGAAAAGATGTTCTGCCTCCCGTGCAGAGCTGCAGAGGGCAGCTGTCCTCCGACAGAGGAAAGGTGCCCCCAGCCCTGAGATCAGAGCTCACTCCCAAGCCCTGCTGAGGGCTGTGCTGAGAAACAAGCATTGCGATGTTGGTACAATCTCCTAGCAAGCTTGCAGGGTTTCATGGCATTTTTTTCTCTAACAAATGCAGGCCTTGGCACAGGCACAAAATCCGTGTCATCCCCGCTTGCACTGGGAAGGGAGGCATAAAGGCAGCGCGTAGAGAGGGCTGTGTGCCAAGCTGTAGCAGGAGAGGGGAGGAGTGGGGGAGGAAGCCCAGTGAATGGGGGGAAAAGGAGAGGAAGCACGAGGGAAAATGGTCAGGAGAGAGCTGCACGAGGTGGGCAGTGCTGGCGGGGAAGAATGGAAGGAAATCCTTGCAGAAATGGGTGATTTAACGCCTGCTCCTTCTGTTGGCTTGGTGACGTGCCTGGCAGCAGCTCCAGGTTCTGAGAGGAGTCGGTGGGGTTTTGGGCTAAGTATGTTGGGACAGGGAAGATGGGCAGAAAGCCCTGCAGCCACAGATGTGTCTCACCTGCTTTGCAGGGGGGTCCAGTGGTTACTAAGGCAGTTGCTTACAAAAGGAGAGGAGCTGTGGAAGTGGAGCTGTGCACAGGGACGAGGAGAAGGGCAGCCTGCAGCCCCCAGCCCTGGTGGCAGAGGAGCTCCATGCAGCATTGCGTGTAGCTTTAGGTTTTCCCCTGTGTGCCGTCGGGGCGGTGCGAGGTACTGGAGCAGCCGGGGGCACAACCTCTGGGCCCGGGATGGAGGCGGGGAGAGTTGTCCCTTCGGGGTGAGGGCAGCAGGAGCGTGGTGGGACGGGGCGGCCTTCCGCTCTGCTGTCCTTGCCTCGCCGCTTTGCCGGCTGCATTTCAGCCCCGTCCGTGCATCCCCGAGCCGGGTCTGTGTCAGCCGCTCGCTGCGCTTCTTAAGCGCGTGAGAAACCGCTCGTTTCCGAACGGCTGGGCAGGGCTCCGTGCGCGGCCACGGCGGCCCCGAGGAAGGCGGACGGTACCGAAGCCGTGCCGGCAGCCGCCGCACCGGCAGACGGTCGGCGCGAGCGTTCGCACCGTGCGGCGTCGGCTGCGGGCACGGCGCTTTGCCGAGCGGGCGGAAACGCGATTCCCGGCCCTGGCCGCGGTCGCTCCGCTTCGCGCTCTCGCCGTCCCAAGGCCGTTCGGCCCCGCGGTGCCGCAGCGCCGCGAACCGCCGGCAAGGCGAGCCGGCGCCGTGCGCGTCGGGCCGGGACCGAGCTGCTGCCGGGCCGGCGGCTTTCGGTTCTCCGCACGCTCAGAACCGTGGGCGTCGGAGGCCGAGCGATACCGTGCCGGAGGGGGGGGGGGGGGGGGGGGCGGGTCTGATTGATTGACCGCTCTGCCTGCCGCACGTAGGGCCGAAGGGCTGAGAGCTCCCGGCTGCGGCCGCCTGCGGGCTGCACGAGGCGGCAGCATGAAAGGTTTCGCTCGCATCCCGCTGGGATTTAATGCCCTCGACGAAAACGCGTGCAGTGCCCGATCCCAATCCCTGCCCGCTGCCCCTCTTCCCAGCCGACTGTGCTTGCTTTTTTTTTTTTTTTTTTCGGAGGGAAGGAATGAAAGGTAGCCGGCGTTTATTTTAATCGTTTATTGTATAATATAAAACTACAAAAGTAAGACTGCTCATTTCCATGTACATTTGTCCAATTGTTTTTGATTACAGCCCATACCTACATGTGAATACAGTAATCTGGTTTCAGATGTATATGTCTGTAATATTGCATAGAAAAGGCACAGCTCTAAGGTCTGTGGGAGGGGGAAGGGGGAAGTACAGCCTTTTTTTCTTTTTTTTTCTTTTTTTTTTTTTTTTTTCGACACTAACAAGCCCTGTTCAAACACCCATGCATTGAACATGTCACACTATTTACACCTTTTCCAGAGTCTTGGCCTTTATGGACGCCTGTATGCATCAGGTGGGAGTTGAAGGTGGTTGCATCAGCAATTGCATTAGGTTTTTTAAAATTATTATTATTAATTTTTTTTATTTTTTTTCAGGAAAAGAAAAAGTGCTTAAAAAGAAACCCAAAAAACCGAATTTATTGAAAAATGTTCAGTCTTGTTAATGAACAGAAGCACTGAAAGCAACTTGCACAGAAGCAGGATACCAAAACCTCATGGGGGAGGGGAGGGAAGTGGGGGGAACCCAAGCAGCTGCCCCCGGTGCCAGCTCACCGTGTGCCAGGGCAGTGAATGCCTGTCAGATGGGCCAGGGCTGCTCACTCTGTGCAACTGCCATAACAGTCAGCTGTGCCTTCATCACGTTGGTGTTAAACAACCCAGGCTGTTAT